GTTGGATATGTCGCATATCCAACATATCCTTATCCCTTATCATATCTCTTATCATCACGTGACTTGTACCATAGTTCTTCCGTTCCTGGGGTTTCCCCAATGTTCCGTCCCGTCCTGCATATATGATGCGCCGTAGCCGCTAGGCGTCAGCGGGGCACGCCCTGGTCTTCATGTTGGGTCGTAACACCCGACTTAACTATTTTAATAATATTAAAATCTTTATATTTTATAAAGGACTTAAAAAGGAAGTTAAGGGCGAACTATCTAGATAAGATAGACCTAATGACTTCTTAATATATGTCGAATTAGCTATTGAGCTCGATAACTAACTTTATAAACGGTAAAAAAAAATACATTTTATAAATAAATATTAAAAACCGTTAACTTAACTTATAATGAAGAACGGCTATTTGTTAAAAATAGAGAATAGGTACGAGGCTCGCTTTGAAATAGGTGATGCGAGCGAGTATGGGCCTCGGTGATTATGTAATTGAGGTCACGTGACGGGCCGTGTGTTACGAGCAGGACAAGGCAACCAACTGTGGCACAAAGCAAAAGCTTCGATAATGATGACTCCGGTCATCATTGTCCCTTGTTCTACCTATATAGCTACGCGCCCACAGTGACAAGTTGCGGCGGGCGTAACACAGTGAGGCCACAGATGGTTGAAACCATCACGACACTTGTGATACGACGATTGTTTCCATGGGCTGGACGAATGGATACCGTTACTGAAAGGGTCACAGAAGCGGTCTCGTTTTCAATCCAGTACGTTAGTCTCCTACATTGATTCAACATCGAGATAGAGATATTCACGATAGTAGATTGAACCTATCACAATTCAGCAATGCGTGTAGGAACAGCACGTCAGGTTCGGCCCCCAGAGTACTTTTATGGCCAAGGGATTCGATGTTGGCACCTGCGGCACCCGGCTTCCATGGATCCTTTGAGTGTCCTGTAACATTAAACAAACTGACGTGCCGGCGCACCTCGCCAGTGCTTTACTTGCTGACGATGATCCCTATCATGATTCATCACCCATGAGCAACACCCTCTCTTGCTAGTTTCTACCTTTGAGAATAGTAATTCTCCTGCGTGGCTGGACCAGGGCACTTGTTTTAAGTCGTGGTTGAGGCCAGGAATTATGCTGGCTCCCGCGATCGTCTTGTTTCTTGAAAGCAAGTTTCTGAAGCCAGCCGCTTCCATTGCCATCCATACTTCCAAAAACCAGATCTCTCCGTAAGCTGAGGTCGATAGCCATAAAGACACTTTGTTGGATAGTAGGGGGGCTGCGCATGTTTCGTTTCGGAGGATACAGGGCTCCATTTGTACATCATGTTCCTGTCGTAAGGTAGGACACATAACTTGTCGCTTATTGCATTGACAGTATTTGGAAGCACAAGTGAAAGCGCTGTTGTGTAGCACAAGACCTCCGTAGCTCCACTGAGCTCTGCTGCTCTCTTTTTCGTGCTTGGAGCGCAGAGCATTTCACATATCATTCAAAGTCAGACGCTTCACATCTTGCCTCTGACATTTGACAAGGCCCTGGACGAACTTGGCAAGTAACGTCATCGTTCCGAGATTGGCGAGCACGTTGTTCGAGTCGGGGGCTGGCGTCTTGACTCTTCGCAATCACCTGCGACCAGAAAGCTTCCGGAAGGATGTGCCGAACATTGAGACACCTCCCCTAGGGATTCCTATTTCCGGCCATCAAACATTCTACGTCCTTTCTGACTAAATGTCCCTGTGTCTTAAAGCGATGATCAACATGGCTTTGGCTTGAAACCCGATTCTACTAATACTTAGCCACTCGACTTGAGTGTCTAAATCACTGTCTGAAGCAAAATCCTCCTCAACTTAGACTTTGGCTCCATGAACTATCACGAAAGGGAGTCACGAAATCTCTGTAAAATATTGCCAGTGTTACGCTTTGACGCTGCCGACACACTCTTTGCGGCATTTCTTACCTTTATCCGGAAGGGCTCCTCGCAATGGCATTGGACGCTGACAACCTCATGTTGGAAGTGGCAAACCGACAGATTGATAGCTTCGGACAAGCGACGGACATGTAAAAGGACTCGCCCATCAGCTTTGTGCTACCCTCACATGGTGGGCGATGTTGAACCTGTCTCTTGTGTCTAAGACCTAGTTCCCACACGCACGTAGACATTCTTACCATGTTCGTGATCCTGGATGTAACCTAGATCAAAAGTTTTGCGACACGGAGAAATACATCCTCTAATTTCAAGGACTAATTGACAGTTTTAGAAGACTTCCCACACCTGCTTGAAGTGGGAGTTGATGGCGCCGTAAGTAAGTTACGCACTGGATCGTGGAGCTATGTGAGGTGGGCTGTTCATAGAGCCTGCTCAACGCGACTACTACGCCGAGATCCATGTAAGACCATGAACTTAGCTACTTCACAGATAGAAAAATCTCATCATCTGTGACCAGCAGTCTATTGTTGGAACGACTGTCAATGCTACCTATCACAAAGCGAGGTAGCAAGTGGAAGACTTGTATGGTAGAAAGTGGCTTGATTCCTCTAAGTGGAAGACCCGTATGAGGGTCCTATCTATATACCGTACAAGACGGGTAATCGGCTTGTGGAAAGCGGTATCGTACGGCAGTAACCGGCAGCGCCACGTGTGGCGCTGCGACACTACCTAAGTGGTCGCGGCCACGGAATCATACATGGAGCTGATCACAATCAACCATTGGGCGCCCTTGAAAAGCAAATGTGGTTCGCGTCAATGCTCTTTGCCACGCGATCGAGAAGCCAGCGGTGACCGGCTCGGGTGCGGCCAGCTTAAACCCCGACTTCCGAAGCCCGAGGGGCTGATGCTTACCTTGAAGAGGTTCCGTGGCATAGCCCCGTCAATCCAATAAGAAGAGATGGGCAATCGGGATATCCGCGAGACAGATAGAAACGTGTTCAAGGCTTTACTTGCGCTTATTATAGAGTGAAATTTCAGATACATTTGTTCTATGAAGTTGGCGAAATCTGAAGTCCTTAAGATGAGAAGACGTCGTGGTTGAGTGGCACGTTGAGCTTGTAGGGACATTTGTGACCCTGAATCGCAGCATATGGCGCCCGCTACGCCACCTTGGCATAAAAGGCGTCGGTAAATTTAAGTTTGTCCATGCTGGCTGAGTCGCACGGCTCTCCAGCTCTTGCAGTCAATTCACCGAGAGTCGAAACGGAGGGCCCAACTTCCCAAGACGCGGTGCGAGGGAGAAGGCCGATCCTTAGACTCGTAGTCTCTCACTGGCCTGGTGATGAACGCTCTTCTTATCTATCTACTGATGGAGGGAGTCGAATGAATTATTACGAGACAAGAAGGTGTGGATCGCTGCAAAGGACTCTATTGCTGTCAGATCTTCGCCCGGGACTCACTCTGGAATGGCATTAAAATTAGACTCTAGAGCTCGATCGAATCACAATTGACGTTGCTTATTTGGGATCAACCACAAGTCCCCCGCGACACCCACAAAGCCTTATTGCGAATGCGGCATTTTCAGTGGTACCGTACCACCTTGGCCTTGATATCCGATGTGCGAAGTAGGTACCACTGCCTTGGGACGGGGAAAGCTCGTGAATCGAGGGGTCGCCTCATCCAAGTACCAGAGTTTTGAGACACGCCCCTACATGTTGGTTGAGGGGCTTAAATCGTCTGACCTATCCACCAGAATACTATTGGAATTCCCCATATGTGTACTGGGCAGTCTGCGCTGCGTGGATCATGATGAGCTCTGGGGGGCACATGTGAATACCCATGTCATAGCTTCTCTTACCCTCTTCAGGCCCAGTTTCTTGACTCAAATAACGCCTAAAGACTTATTTACCTAAATAACAGATTTGATTTCGATGGGGACCCATCAAGCCAATCCCGTGGTCAACGGTGTCCAAGGAGAAGTAGACGAGAACAGGCTTGCCTTCAAATACATCCATCGAGTCGGAGGGAACCCTCCGATTCATCGTGACCGCAAGACTGTGGCAAAGCAGCATCTGAATCGCTCCAGCTGCTGGTTTTAAAAAGCAAGTAGAAGGCCTGCAGCATCCTTGAGTGTCCGATTAACTTGTCACATCACTGCTAGCTATGCGGATGATCCTTGCGTAAGTAGACACCATGGCCCGCTTGAAGCGTACTAAAGGATGTAAGATTGGCTGATGTGAAGAACTAGGGCTCTGAAGGGGGCATTGAGTCGTCAGGGCAAGTTCACCTCCTCGATGGTCCAGGCCAGTGCAGACGGGAATCCTGCCAAACGCCAACAGGGATGGCACCACGCCTGCGGGGTGTATCAGTTGGGTATCCGTACTATGACCGAGAAGAGAGATGTGCAATGGCCAAGAAGAGATGCTGTTGGAATATTGATTTCACGCATTAGTTGGCTATAAATACTCTTCCGAAGCGGACAATGGGGAGAGCCTGATTGTCATGTTGTTCTTATTTTCTCTCCACCTTGAACCGATGCTGGGCTCGCAATACGACGACTTAAGGGACGCCCCGAGCCCGGAGAATCCTGCGACAGCCACGAGCTTCAGGCGCCTCCTACCAGCCGGCGCTGGCCCTCGCGTTATTTCAACAGAACGCCCGTTTCGACGGCAGAGACAAAGTGTTCCAGCAGCTTGTCTAGAGTGCCGCAGACGAAAAGTAAAGGTAACTCTAAGGCTCCATGGAATTCGCAGCAGAGAAAGGAAGATGGAAAGCCGCCCGCCTCCAACTACCTACCCCTGATGAGAAAAGTACCTTTTACCACGGCCTGGTGTAGCGACATATCATCGGTACTTATCCAGGCCGTTGAAATCGCCGCCGTTAAGGTGGGGCAAAGTGGCCAGAAGAGTTGTCAAATCATGAATATCATGAATAGATTAGACAGTTAACCGTCAACCTTTTCCCCTCTTCATACACCCCTTTCAGCCTAGCGAGACATCTATCATCTCGACATTACAGCCATAAAGCCACAAACCTTCGACTGATGATTGCCATTCAAAAACGCAGTGTTCCGCAACTCGACCGACCTGTTCGCGATGTTCCATTCAGAATGTTGAGTGCGAATACGAGACAGGGCCTGACATCACCCGCAGACGCGCAATTGTCAACCGGCTTGAAGAACTCGAGAAAGAGAACAATGATCTCCACGAGCTGATCAGAGACCTTTGTTCACGGCCTGAAGAAGAGGCAACCGAAATATTCAATCGACTACGATCGACAGGCGACCCGTTCCACGTCTTGGACCTCGTCCGCATGGGGGACCTCCTCCTGGGAAAGCAGCCTATCGAAGCTATCGAAGCTATCGAAGCTATTGGCTTCGGGGACAGGAGAAGAAAATCGAGTCCGTTATCTTCCAAGCCGAGTTCTGTGCCAGACAAAGCCGACATGAACCCGTCTGATCCGGAAGATTGATTGAATCGAGCCGTGCGCAAACTCTACACATGGTGGACAACTTGATTTATAGAACACGACGATAACTTCAGTCAATCCGACCGGTTCCTTGAATCCTTTTTGCAATCTATTCATCAAACAAAGTCCAATCTGCCATCTGATAGCTTTAGCGGTTGGATATACGAGCGAGCTACGATACACCTTTTCAACATTGCGACGCGCGATCGAAGCCGACCGGCATAGCTACGAGATCCAAGCCTTTGTTGATTGCGCAGCTCGGATCCTCCAAGACGGGAGGGCCCCAACAATCCATCAAGGGCGGCGCTTGACTTGAATCCGGTTGAAAAGCATCGAGAAGCTCGCCGTGGCGCCCAGGAATTGTCGGCAACGATGGAAAACATTGGCTTTCTGACTTGAGACAAGTCCGGCAACACGAGGCGATTAGCTCGGGTTTGCAACAGCTATTGCCAAACAACAGCTTCAGAGTCAATTGCGACTCCGAAACCAAGGACAAGGCCGAATTCCAAAGGGGCAATTGAATCGTTGGAGCTACATAGAACAAATAGACTGCTAGGTTCTCTCGACAGTTTTCTGCATTAGGTGATTTCCGCAAGAGTTATTCTGGGTTTAGAGTCTTGCTCACTTATTTACAGAAGAAGTCCAATTACTTACTTACCTAAAGTGTTAGTTCGTATCGTTAAACCGAAGCCGAATGCGACTACACAACCGTCTCCGACGTCACGGTGACGAAACCCCCAAAACTTTTCGTTGCAGAAAGGCGCAACTCGGACCAAGACGATCTATACGAGCATGGACAGACAGACACTTGAAGAGAAAGATGATGGGGGCAATCGAAAGCCAAAGGGCAGTTTTATTACAGCTGCAATCGGCATAAACTTCGAAATTCAAATGTCAGGGTGAGCGGTCGAGTTTCCTACAAAAGTAGCTGCGCGGTCGCTGTCGGATTGGAAGCCCAATTCGACCGTGAGTAGGGGCCACCTCGAGAGGGTACAATTACACCTCGACTACCCACCCAACCTCCGGTTGGAATCTCCCTTCTATCACTCCTTACGCAGAATCAATCAATACAGAGATATTGATACTTCGTCACCCCCAGGACCCTACGGTTCGAACCAACTTCCCTGTGATAGGGATACCAACAGTCGCGCATCAGTTGGTCGTCCGATGCCAAGGTACTCAGGTCTTGCTCTATACCGTTTGGATTTGCAGATAAACTTTGAGAGACACATGTACCGAGGAACTACACATGTAGAACTGCGGATATCCGCCTATGTCAAGTTGGATTTGTTTAATTCTAGTGCTCAACTGTGGTTGTCTATATCACGACTTTCCCTTTCTAAGTGCGAACATCACGGGATGTCCGATGCTTCGCCCCCCTGAACGAGCGTAACCCATTCCTGTATCAAAACATTTTGGTGCAAAGACTGGTTGAATGGGCTACCGTGGTCTGGGAGATTGACGCTGGTGCTATTACTGAGTTGTCGACCGGCGAGGGCCAGACGCTAACTCTTGACATAAGGTGGCTTTCCCATAGTTCTATCCCGACTACCGCCTCGAGTCTTCGGCCAAGGCTAGCTAGATTGGATTCCTAGTTGCTGTTGTAGTGGCATGCTTGCTCTTTGCGCCTTCATATTGGCCAATCGATCTGCAACCTACGTCCGTACTCGGTTTCGCCTGTCCCCTCTTTCTAATTCAGGAAAGCCGACGACTTGAACTGAGGCCCCCAGGACTATACAGGTGGCAACATCGGTGGCGACCGAGCGGCAAGTCGACGAAGACCCGGTGGAGGAGTCCGACAGTTTAATTAAGTTATCAAGACTGGTGCCAGGGCCAATCATCTGACCGTCCTGGACATCGACTCTTACCTTAGAGTAGAGTGAAGAAAGGACAGGAATCGACATTAAGCTCCTAACTTATCAAAAGATGCCAAAAGACCATCGATGGAGGGGATTAAGAATCCACGAGCAGACGATGCGGCACTAGGGACTACTGACGCCTTCCTTCTTCCACCAGATGAGCTACGCAACATTCTGTAGTGACAGATAGCAGGTGTTGCAGGGCTGGACAAAACTACGACTTCTCAAGAGCCTAGCAGTAACATGATTAATTCTGAGAGTTTGCAAAAGGAATAAGTCACCCAAAACAAATCGCAGAATTACACAACTGCGGTCGCCGGTTCTTCTCGGAGCCATCCGTCAGTTGAACCCCTCTTTCAACAGTTTACGGAGCGGGAACTTCAAAAAGGGCCTCGACTTTGGGCATGACCCTCAGGGCAAGACACTAGGGATCCTCGGCATGGGTCGCATTGGCCGTGCAGTGAAGCGCCGTGCCGAGCCTTTTGGCCACAAGACAATCTACCACAACCGGGAGCCGCTGTCAGATGATCTTGCTTCAGGCTGTCCGTATGTTTCCTTCGATAAACTTCTCAGCACCAGCGATATCATCTCCGTCCATTTTCTGCTGTCAGCCGGTACTACGCACTTGATTGGAGCCGCAGAGACTGCTAAGATGAAGCCCGGTGTAGTCTTAGTCAATACTGCCCGTGGCGCTATAATTGACGAGGCAGCCATGGCCGCCGCCTTGGATGAGGGGCATATCGCTGCGGTTGGGCTAGATGTCTACGAAAAGGAGTCACTGGTCGACGAACGGCTAGTCAAGAACGACCGAGCATTGCTCGTGCCTCACCTGGGAACCCACACCGTTGAGACATTCGGTCAGATGGAGTTGTTAGCGATGGAGAACGCCCGGCGTGGAGTGTGCGGGGAGAGGCTATTGACGGTAGTTCCCGAGCAGACCAAGGCGCAGTCTGCATAGGAGCAAGGGATTGAATCACACTTGTTCATGGGCCACACAATTTCATGGCGTAGAAAGCAAAAGACTGTATTTCCAACAATGTCCGATTCTCCGTAATTCCCGTGTTGACCAGACTCGGTGGCCGGAGAGATCGGCGTGGGGCAATCATTGATTACCCACATCTCTCTTCCTAGTTCTCCGCGGGCGGTGTTTTCTTCGTCCGCGGCTCAAATATTACGCGCGCTCAGCCATTTCCTCCGTCTCTTAAGCCTCCCGCCCGCAGCTTCCCACGGCCAATTGAACCCGATCTCGGCAAGAAGCAAACTTGTCCGTCAATACCAATGGCAGGCCAAGGAATCAAGAAAACAACTCGTAGTCGTGGAGCATGCCTGGCCTGCAGAGCACGAAAACACAAGGTGGGTTGAGAGGAGTTCACAATCACCTGCAAGTAGAAGAGGTTGACTGACTCTATGGGCAACCAACAGTGTAGCGGGGAGAGGTACGCTCGCGCTGACAGATACTTGTAATACCCACAAAGCTTATTGCCTTCATGGTAGACCAAAATGTGCACAATGCGGTATGAACAACGTGTCCTGTCAATGGCCTGAACAGAGAAAGCGGTAAGTGTCGAACGTCAGTCGTCAAACCGGGCCTCTTCTCCAGTCTTCCTCTTAACTCTCTTCACCTCCCGTGACTGACAGTCGAGGCGTAGTGGTCCCCCGAAGCACTACATCTTAACCATGGAGAAACGTTTGATGGAAACGGAACAAGTTCTTGGCGCACTGCTGGCTCAAGTATCGGGAGACCAGCTGGTATCGGCATTTCGTGATCTCCGGGGACCTGGCCTCCGATCAACTGGTGGTGCCTCGTCAACCAACGACGGAACATCACTTGAAGTGGTCAAAGGGCAAAAGTTCGGCCCCGTGTACTGGGGCAACTATCCTCTCGACTCAGCAGAAGCGGTTCACCGTTGGTGGGAAGACCGAACATCAATAGATCCAAGCGATGCGCCCACTATGGATTCTCAGGTGTTCGAGGTTGCTGCTACAAACGATTCGCCCACCGACAACACACCAGGTGGCGACGATAGTTGCGGGGATGATGATATTGAAGAGACCGAGGGCATGAGGCGCGCAGAAAGCATGGAAGCAGACGAAACCCTGATAATAAACCCAGATGTGTCTAGAGACTCAGAACAGTACTCTACTAGGATACGGGGTATCGGAGGAGGAGCTGCTGGGTCGCCAGTAGAAGCGGTAACGAGCTCTGGACCCAGTCTCAATACAGGAGCGGATGAAAGGCGGCGGGAAACACAACTGCCAATTCCAGAAAGCTACGAAAGCGCGTTCCTTTGGTAGTTGGATTTACCCAGTTCATCAAGTACGATTCGAGACTCTATGTGACCCATTTGAAATACTAGGAGAGGCTAGTAAACTCGCCATGTCTAGTCGAGCGGTAATTACTTGACTTCAACTGGGTAGCTACGGTTCCTTCTCTTGGAGGCCTCGTCTTTCTTATAAAACTAGTATTTATTACGTTGTTGGAAAAGCTGTAGACTTGTGTTTACTCCGCGGACTCATTGCAGCTTGTCTTTGGTCTCTCACTTGGAGTTTCTTGCTGGGGGAATATTTCACTCAGCTTTAGCTTCAACGTTCCATAGACGGATATCTTCGGCAGAGTGCTCACGCAGGCCATTTCAGCTACGGGGTATTCTTACCCCGCCGCACCCCACCACTAATTTCGCTGGGCGTCAGCGCGTTTTCGGTCTGCCGCCTTTCGAGAACAAATGAGAGCAAACAGCGTCGACGGAACTTAGCCTGGCTTTCTGGCACCTTGGCGACGGGTCTTTCGACATGGCGCCAGAGATCGGAAGTCTCAGAGCTCTTGCCAATGGGGAAAGCCAGTTTGTTGGCAGTTCCTCAGGCGTCTTCTTCATCAACACCGTTAGGAGGGCCTTCTCAACGGCCGAAGGCACTGAGGCAGACGATGGGCGTCACGCTGTCGGGGCCGATACTCGCGATGACCCATCCCCCGAAGATTGCATAGTGGGCGACAGCGACAGAAATGACCAACAGCCTTCGAGAGGGAGGCCCGATTGCCGCAGCGCTGGTCGACCGAACCAGGAATCAGATGCTGAGACCTCACCGCTCCCATCAGGCATAGATATCATGACTGACATGAGTTCTTTGCCTGAATATACAGTTGCTAGGGACCTGGTCCTTACGTACTTCCGAATATGGCATCCTTTGGTTCCCTTTCTACAAGGACCAGAATGCCTGGCAAATCTGGAAAATCTCTACGCACCTGACTTCAACAAGCGCAGTTCGAGATCGCTCTGCCAATTTGTCATCTTCAAGTGCATCTTGAACGTCGCTAAGCTTGATACAGATGGGCCGCTTGATCTGGGGTTAGCGACCATACGTTCGCCTTCCGACCTCTTACCAACTCTGAGCATATTGGCCCTTCGTTGCGACACAATCTCTATCCAAGCGCTGCTAGCATCTCAAGTCTATTTCGTTTCCACAATGTCGCTCAGGCACGCATCTTCTGTAAGTGGCTTGCTATCCAAGTCAATCTTCCAGTCGGGCATGCACAGATGTCCTGTCAGGTACGACCATCTGTCTCCGGATGAGCGCTCAATGCGCAAACGCATATTCTGGAGCTTTTATGTTCTCGACCGTTTCATCAGTCAGTCGCTGGGGCACCCGAACGGTATTCAAGACTCAGACATCGACGTGTGCCCGCCAGGCCGGCGAGATCTCCATGAACCAGTTTCAAAGTCAGATCTGCATGGCCAAGCAGAGAACACCATCCTACACCTACCCGCAAACCATCCCGAACGCTTGGCATCATCCCCACCAGATCGTAATCAGAGCACGGAGACCTCGCCCGAAGTAGAAGAAGAGCAAGGCCGACATGAGGAAGCCGGCACCGGCCCTCCGGCATCAAGCATGTCACCAAAGGCTGCCGCGATCATGCGCCACCGTCGAGAAACACAAGCTGTTCTGGACCATCATGTTCGGCACTCACAGCTAGTGGGAAGAGTCCTGGAAGTCTTCCACAAGTCCATTCATGCTAGGGACATGGATAACCAGACGATCCTCTTTCTCAAGGCGGATGTGATGGCCTATGGCAACGATCTCACAGAGCCACGCTTCAGCTCAGCCTTACAAGACATACCACAGCTAACCCCAGATCCCACCGTATTTCCCTTTGTCAGTTACTATTACACGATACTTCTACTGAATCGCCCCTCCCTTTCACTTGACTCAAGACGTGCAGAGTTCCGTGACGCACTGCAGACTTGCATCAATGCTGCCTACGCGATACTCCGCATCATTGAGCAGTATTCAGACTTGGGAGGTCCTCTGTTCTGGCCTGGATACATGTCAGCTGTCTGGATGAGTGGTCTAGTGCTGGCTCTAGCAGCTCGACTCAAAGTTTGCAATGTCACGAAAGCCAAATCGTACGTACAATCAAACCGACCAGCTGGAAATTCGAATGTTTTACCCAAGTACTCACTAAGGAAACAGAGGAATCGAGTCTTCGCTTCAACTATTAAATAAGTTGACGAAACGATGGGCTATGGCTCGACATTGTAGAGAAGTACTCTCTGTGCTCCTTCGAGGCATTGAAGAGGGGCCCAGAGCACATAAGAGAGCCCGAAAGGATACAACTGAGTGCTCAGATCATGAGGACGGTCCTCGCTCTACAAATCATGGTCATGATGTTACACAAAAGCGTGCCAAGCGAAGCAAGGGAAGGATAACAGTCGCTGATGACTCTAGGCGACAAGATCAGCCTGCAAATCTTGGTTCAATATCTCCGCGGCGGCAACTCCCAATGCCACACGTGATTCATGGTGATCAAAGTCTATTTCCACCTCAAAGGTTAAGAGATGGTAGTGGCGTTTCAAGGCTCCATGAAAGCCAAAGACAGAATCTTTTCAGTTTCGAGACGCCCGACTTCAACCTAAACAGTCCCCGGCCGAACCAAAATCAACTTTATCAAGGAGAAGACAGCCAGCTTTTCTCAACGCCTGACTTGAACTTCCAAAACAACATCTCATCCATGGGGTCTCACTTTGCTCCTATACCCACAACATTTCCAGATCGCAACAGAAACCCGTCAAATCAGATTATGGATGGGCAATTCGGAGTTGCTGACAACTTCTTTGACATATTTGATGGAGCTACTTGGGGTTCACTGCTGGACATTGTAAATGATGCAGGTGCAGAAACACAGTATCAATATTAGAAGCGAAAGTATTGCTATCTTCGACTTGGGAGACATTTCTGGTGATGGTTCTATCTTGGCAAGGGCGCAAGATTTTACGCACTCTGGAGTTCAAAGGTCAACGTAATCAGGCCATATCATCAGGCATGTTAGCTGAGATAAAGGTGGGCAAGAAGGGGAATTGGAAAATAGAGCCAATGTCATTGTCTATTGTCTATTCTAGCAGTGATTGACACATTCACGCCTGTGCTTGGATGAAGTCCTCCCCCTTCTTGATATTCCCTTTCAATTCATCAATGGCCACCTTCAAAAGGCCATTCTCATAGTTAGAGAGCGACCCAATGGGATGCGCAATCTCGGCGCCGTTGGGCCCGAAGGTAACCGGCACCGCAAAGTAGCTCACTCCAAGCTCGTGGGCAACAGTCTCACCTCCTTGCAACCCAGGGAGGTAGACATAGGCAGGCTCTTCAACACCACTCTGGCCTTGAGAGGCCTTGATGATGGCTTGGGCAAAACTACGAGGACATACAAGTAAGTGATTGCTGATGGTCAAAACATGGGTTTCTTGGAAATTGATACTGTCGTAGGGTATATATGGCGTTAATTGCTGCCCGTAATTAACGGCGTCGTTTTTGCGACAGATACTTACCGGAAACCAGCGTATGCCATGCATGTCGTCGGACCCAGCACCGGCCTTGGCTTTGACGACTTAATTCCCGCCGAATTGAACTCCTGACGATGACATGTCAGCTTGTGTCTCAGATAACTTCAATAACCTTCAACTCACTGTTGGTGATAGCCTTGATTTGCTCTTGGCTCAGCTGCACCGAAGGTTTGGATTGGCTGATCAACGGCAAGATTGTTGCCCCCGAATGTCCGCCTACAACAGGCACCTTAATATCCTGCGGGCTAATGTTTCCAAGGACATCAGCAACAAATTTGGATCCACGCACAACGTCCAGTGTTGTGACGCCAAACAAGCGCTTTGGGTCAAAGGCTCCGTGCTTCTTCAGCACTTCAGCGGCAATGGAAACAGTGCTATTGACTGGGTTGGTGATAATTCCAACCAACGCCTTGGGGCAGAATTGCGCCACTCCAGCAGCCAGATCCGCAATGATACCAGCATTGGTCTTGAACAAATCTGATAGCATGTGAGCCCAAACATTTTCGAGACCTTTGGATCGAATCTCTCACCATCTCGCGTCATTCCTGGTTTTCGAGCAATGCCAGCGGAGATCAATACAACTTCTGCCCCGGTCAGAGCCTTTTGAAGGCCATCATTCTCGGGGAGGTAGCCCTTGACGGCGGAAGGAGTATCAACGTGGTTGAGGTCCGTGGCCACGCCCACCGCGTGCACAACGTCGTAAAGTCTCAGTTCTGTAACAAGGAGGGACTATGGAGAGCAATATTAGCTGTCTTGATTTAAATGTCAAGGGCCTTTGAGGTTCATAATACCGATTTGAGTAGTTAGAAGACTCAAGGGTTGTCCGATCTGCCCAGAGGCACCTAACACAGCGATTTTGACCATCTTGAACAGATTTGAGGCCTGAGCGTTCACTTGAAGTGTTTTAAAGATTCACTGGTCTGAATCGGGAGATGTTGAAGTGGCATCTGTCTGCTCAGAAGGTGTCACGGGCTAGAGCCCGGTTGAGATCTCCGGCCTTGCCGGAGCCGCACGTACACCCCTCTGCTGGGAAGCTGTCCGACCGCGACCTGTAATAACCGATTATTATATTAGATTGTTATATTTGGTTATGCTGTAGGCCGGAGCTGGTCGAGATGTCTGGCTTTGCCGGGGCCACTATTCTGCCGTAGTACACTGCCGAGTCCGGGTATATCATGCCGTAGCTGTACGCGAACCCCTGTAATTCCTCCTTTTCCTCCTCAGCTTAGAATAGTCAATCGACGGCACCTCTACGTTGAACAAGCCTAGGGGCCAGCCCCTTACAGAAGGTCAGACAACGCGGGCGTGTAAGTACGACATTAGGCCAAAATAAATGCAGCAGCACACAGGTTAGTATGCACAAAGAATATGCCGCCGACTGACAATTACGCCGATACTATCTACCGATGTAAAAAGTTAGTCCTCAATCGTGTATACAATACGATGCTCCCACGGATGAAGTGACCCGGTCGAAGAAGGGGTCGGCTAAGAAATCCCGCGGCTCATCATTTAAGCGAAAGGTTCGCCGGTCTTCGCCCCGATGCCAGCACGACTGCCTCCGATTTCAGGAAGACTGCGAACTCTTATTCAACGTATTACACAAATTGATATACATAAGTTGACTGTTTAAGTCACAGTCGTTTTGATCTCATCACATCAACTCAACCAGTCGGATCATTACCTACCCCCATTATGTCTCCTCAATCCCTCAAGATCGCAGTCATCCCTGGCGACGGCATCGGCGTCGAGGTTATGCCATGGGGTGTCAAGAGTCTCGAAGCGGCCGCCAAAATATTCGGACTTACGCTGGAGTTTGAATGGTTCGACTTTGCCAGCTGCGCGTACTATCACAAACACGGACAAATGATGCCTTCTGATTGGAAGGAGATACTTCTCAAGTTCGACGCAATCTATTTCGGTGCTGTGGGCATGCCTGACCAAGTACCCGACGATGTCTCACTCTGGGGAAGCTTGCTCAAGTTCCGCCGCGAGTTCGACCAATACATCAACCTGCGTCCCTGTCGTCTGATGCCTGGAGTCACTTCTCCCCTGGCCAACCGGAAGCCAGGAGACATCGACTTTTGGATTGTTCGCGAGAACACCGAGGGCGAGTACAGCAGTATCGGCGGCAAGATGTTTGAGGGAACCGACCGCGAGACTGTCATTCAGGAAACAGTTATGACCAGAGTTGGTGTTGACAGAGTTCTTCGTTATGCCTTCGACCTTGCTCAAAGCCGTCCTCGAAAGCGCCTCACAAGTGCTACTAAGAGCAATGGTATCAGCATAACGATGCCGTATTGGGACTCTCGTGTAGTGGAGATGGCGAAGAACTACGAAGACGTGAAGGTCGACAAATACCACATCGATATCCTCACTGCCCACTTCGTACAACGACCAGACATCTTTGATGTTGTCGTTGGAAGTAATTTGTTTGGCGACATCCTTTCGGACTTGGGACCTGCCTGCACAGGTACTATTGCCATTGCTCCTTCAGCAAACATCAACCCGGACAGCAAGTTTCCTAGCTTGTTCGAGCCGGTGCATGGTAGCGCACCCGACATTGTTGGCGAAGGTGTTGCCAATCCTGTCGGCATGATCTGGGCTGGTCAGATGCTGCTCCAACACTTTGGCTTTACGGACGCAGCAGACCTGGTGCTGAAGGCCATTGAGAACGTTTTGGCACGTGCGGAAGCCGCGGTTTTGACGCCGGATATGAAGGGTTCAGGTAACACGGAGGCGTTTGGGGCAGCTATTGAGGCAGAAATAGTGGCTCTAGGAGGGAAGAAGTAAATCGGGCGAACCTAATATGTCATGCCTTAAGGACAGAATACATGCTGGTGACTAGAGAGGACTTGGTTTCAAATATGTAGAAGGTGCCAGGCTAAGTTACTTAGGTCATATTAATGGACATGGAGTACTCCTAAGCTTGCCCTGGACTTCGAACCTCGGGCTGACAATGATGACAGTCAGGTCCATTGAGATAGCTTATCAAGCATGAAACCATAGTAATAATCTGCTGCGACAATATGCACACTATTAAATCGGCTTCTAAGGTTATTTAGAAGAACCATTGGTAGCTAGAGAGTTTGCGAAATTTATGGTTTCGTATCTAACTAAAGTGCCACTAATATCCGTACTTCCGCTGCAGTTTGAGCTTCATCACAACATGAGTATAAAAGATGAGGGTTCCTCGTACTTACTTAACTCATGTTCTCAAATATTCATGCTGCAAGTGATTATAACGTCGGACTAGCGGATCATCTTCTCTTGAAGAAAGCTTACTGATGTCGGGACACTATCTCCACCCCTCTCCAACATAGAAAACCCATTCTCGCACTCTCAACAAATATGATGCATACATCTACTTACCTTACATCGCTTTGAGCTCTTAAAATAACTTGCGATCTATTAAGTACTGTGATTGCACAATTCCAAAGTCAACGCATCCAAAGCAATTAATGGAATAAATAGGTTTAGTGCGATTAAATGTATCCTTGCACCGGAGCTGACTCTCGGCCGAGAAATGGAGCCGCTATTAAGAGCTGCCAAGATCTCACGGGTCGAAGGATTCGTCTAATTTCCTCAACGAAGTTCCTCCTTTTCTGATGTGAGATGCGCGAGGATTTTCATCCGTCACCCCATTCCGAAACCCATTCAACTTGCCTCTTCGAGGCGCTCTCGGGTGCGCCATGGGTGTCTTCCACGGCTTGGTTGTGATCGTCCTTCTCATCGCAACTCACTTAGCAACTGCCCAGCTGCCGACCAATGCCATCGAGGTCGACCTCGTATTCCCTCGCGCGGGCGAGAAATATGCCAAAACAAGCGACGGCCTCCCAGTCATCCTCTCGCTGCAGAACCCCAACGTCGCCTATCACTTTGGCTGGGTTTTCTCATGGGATATCTACAAGAAGCCTCTTGGAAATGTGCGGAGCTTACCTTTCAACAATATTGGGTCCATCCTGAAGAACGACTCTATCTACTCCGACAACCCGCACGTGGAGGTCCGGTATACGGAGGCCCTTGACGCGGGCGAGTACATGTTCTCCTGGACCGTTCATACTGGCCCTTGGTGTAATCTTTCGAATGCCTGGGTCGAGTATTTTGCCAACCACAAAGTCAACAATGGCACCTTCGACTTCACCATTGAGCAGGGAGCCCCGACGCCAACCTTCACCGGGACATGCCCAACTGCTTTGGGCATGATCAACTACGCGTCTTTGACGACATATCATGGTCTCTTTGATGGGGCGTACGATGATCCGGTCACAAGCCTGATGTCATGTGCAATCACAACCAATGTGACCTTCACAGCAGAGCCGTGCAGGGCAACAATCAATGAAGCACAGGCTACGAGTATCTCCAGCCAACTTCATTTGGGAACCTACGCGACTGCATCAGCCACGGCATCGCCGACGGGTTCCGCCGTCGCTGCCCAGCACACGTTAAACAGGCGCCTAATCTGGGCTGCCGTGTCATTTGTTGTCCTATTTGGCACTCATGTAGCCTAATGATAAATCATATGCCACGTACGGATATTTGAGATTCTTCAAGCATGCCTGCGCGTGTTGACGATTGGTCACGGCTCCGAACTACCTACTTGATTGTTGTTTTCCCACCCTCGCCGGTTTCATAAGGACAGTCCACTGTCAACAAACCATTATCCTAGCTACCCGCATCCCAAATGGGCAGAGTCCAGAGAGATTGTATGCATGCTGCAGGGTTAGTGGGGATTTAAGCGGAAACGCGACGGGGCAGGCGGAAGCTCACGGATCACAACCTAGATCGGGATGGCTTGCATGCTTGTGGGACCTGAGGGTTTAGACAGAGATGAGGCTCACTAGTGTTCATGATGGGTTTGACTCAAGCAAACCTCATCAATTGTCCTCGAACTTTCGGCTTCGTCCGAATACCCAGTAGCTTCATCGCAGTTTGACTGGAACATGGATACAATGTCTTTGATTCTATCCAAAAGAAACTTCCGTATCGCGCCTGAAGCAGCCGTAACACAGGATCTTCGCCATTTTGGGTCTCAAGTGGATCTCAAGTTGCTTTTGCCAACTCAAATGCTGTTGGCCAAGACGGCTGGAGGTGCTTCCATCCGGAGGAGATGCCGGATTAGCCATCACCTGCATCGAGTCTCACGCAGTCATTTATGACCATGTGTCAAAAGGAACGATCACCCACGTTTACGTGCGGCGCAGGAGATGACTTTCTTCATAATTCCGTGGCGACAGGGAAGCGACATCGGGTTCCCAATCCTCATGCAGCCGTGACATTGCTTTTGCCTTCAGAAGCGCGTGTCAGCGGCACATGTGGTGCCTTTCTCGATCGTAGATCAATCATGGAACCCCCGACCCTTTTCTCAAGGGTTTCTCAATCTTTTCGAAGATTTTTTCAATCCAAAACTTGCGCCGAGTTCCATCGATACTAATGGCGGCATCTGATGGATATTTCCTCGATACCAGATGATCCGAGCAGCCTCCCCTTGACGGGGACATCGGCGTTCGTCGGACAGCCCCCCGCAACTCAAAATGATTATTACATCGCCAAGGGTCTCTTCCGCATGGCCGGAATGACAGCCAACCCGATGACAGGCTATCACCTCGCCGCCAAGCAGTCTTCCGACTATGCCCACGAGACGAAGTTGCCCGGCGTTTTAGCAGGCCTCATTTTTGTTATCCTGGCCGTCGTCGCGCCCACGGCCGCGAGAGTATGGCTAAGATTGCGAAGAGGTTCAGTTATGCAATTCGGTTGGGATGACTGGACCATCATTGCTGCAGCAGTAAGTGCTTGGGAGATTTGAAGATTGAAGACACTTCAACGTACTAATCCTGCTCACGATAGATCCTAGCTCTCGTATTTCCAATCGCACAACTTCATTCCCTCGCAATCGGCGCAGCTGCCCTCCACACGTGGGAAGTCACTTACGAGCTATTCAACATCGGCGTGTTAGTGGCCATGGTCTGCAAGACAACATTCTTCGTTGCCGTAGGCATGATTAAGCTCTCCATAGCAATATTCATGAGAAGACTGGCCGACCGGCTCCCGAGATGGTGGCGAATCGCATGCGATTTATTCATCGGATCGACCATCGCATACATCTTGCTCGCAATATTCCTCAACATCTTTACATGCAATCCGCCGGCAGCACAATGGGACCTGGCGATCCGGGGTAGACGAGAGTCTGCTCCTTCGTGTATCAACATGGACGTTCAGTCAAAGATTCTGACCGGCTTCCATGTGGCACAGGGGCTCACCTTGCTGCTTGCGCCCGCTATGATCTTGTTGAAGATTCGCATGCAAATGGCGAAGAAGATCCGACTGTTCGCGATCTGGATGATCGGTGGTTTGGCAGTGTTGAGTGGCTTACTGCATCAGATCCTTCCTGCGCCCACCAACGACTTCACTTGGGATTACACAGAAGCTCTGATATGGGCATGCTTGGATCTATCACTGGGTGTTGTGACGGCTTCACTGCCAGTGCTGGACAGCTTGATGGAAGAATACTGGAGAAGGGCCAGAACCACCATGGTCAACACATACGGCGGAAGCAAGTCATCACGATCACGAACGAGCGAAGACAGCGCCTGGCCATACACCAAGACTGCGGGCACAGACAAAAGTAGGAAACAGGCAGCAAGACCACCCATTTCCAACATCACGATGCCCATGGAACGCTCAGAGTCTAGAGAAAGCATCGTCAAGAAGGAGGAGTACCACGAAACTAAGGTTGGGGCGATTGAGATGGGTATTTTGTGCACTCAGGAAATTGAAGTGCATGTCTCTGATGCCGAAGATGTAGAAAAGGGGCGGGCAGAAAGTCGAGGGCCAAGATCACCGTCGCCGTTTTACCATAATAGGCCTGAATGGCACGACAACTCTCATAAGTTTTGATAGAAATGCAACATTAAGTTTTGCCAAATTTGAACAGACGTATGCAATGCTACTACACTCGGGCAACAGTGCCCAAAGATGGCAAGCAATCATGGTCAACTTAACAGACTTTGAGTCAGTATTTCGAGTATGAGGTGATTCCTATGGCGTTGTCTCTTTACTTAGCTTAATATCCCGGGATTGTCGCTGTAACAACAACTGCACAGATGTCAGGACACAATTGCGAAGCTGGCAGTCGGGATGTCGAACTCCAAATGTGACGATCAAGGTTTTGTTCATATTCGAGCCATTGAGCTTCATCTTACTAAGGTATGGTAAAGAAACTTCTTCGCTATGCCACGTAACCGCCTGCCTCCCATCAAACATCAGCAACAACGCCCCCACACCTCTTGCTTTTCGATTTGACAACAACCGCCGTTTCCCGGATCCCAAGTACAATCATGAAGATCAGAATCCACCATTAGGATGAATGAGAACCTTCGTGTAACCGTCAATTCTCTTGTCGAACTTCTCATACGCAACTTCTGCATCGTCGATGTTAATCTCATGCGAGACGACGAAGCTGGGCTTGGCCTTGCCCGCGATGATCAAGTCACGCAGATATCGGTTGTACGCCTTGACGTTGCACTGTCCAGTTCCAAGGGAGAGTCCCTTTTCGAAGAGCTTGCCGAAGCTCAAGCTGATCATACCCTTTGCTGAAGCATCATCTGACGCACCGGGGTCGCTAAGAACACGCTTCGTCAGAATTGTATAGCGCTCAGCGGAAGGATCAGTCTTACCTAGGAACGTAAAGTCCCGGGATGCCAAGTCCACCACATGCTCTTGTGACTTTGATCATGTTCTCCAGCACGATGTTGGGCTGCTCGGTGTTTCCACCGGCGCTCACTGCCTGATATCCGACAGCATCCACTGAGCGGTCGACTTCACCGCCGTTCAACTTCTTGATTTGCTCAACAGCATCGCCCTTGGTGAAGTCCACTGGTGTACATCCAATCTTTTCTGCGGACTCGAGACGCTCGGGAACGCGATCGACCACGTAGACTCTTGATGCGCCGCGGAGAACTGCTGAGTAGGCGGCCATCAGCCCGACAGGGCCGGCACCGAAAACAGCAACGCTCTCGCCGGGCTTGAAGCCGGAGAGCTCAATTCCATGCCAGCCAGTGGGGAAGATATCTGGTGAAGCGCACATGGTCAGTATGTTCGAGATAATCTTGGCGGTGGTGGGTACGTACCTGCAAGCAAAATGAAGTCTGCCTCAAACTCCTTGCCGGCGGGAAGCTTCAGGGCGTTGAAGTCGGCATAGGGAACTCTGATGTATTGTGCTTGACCGCCAGGGTACGGGCCCATGGCAACATATCCTTCGTAGCATGTGAGCTTATATGATTCAACTGTTGCACGAGACGATGACTTACCATAAGCACCACCAGCAAATCCAGGGTTTACGCCAGTGCAGAATGCTGTTCGTCCCTCTTCGCAGTTGTGGCAGCGGCCATCAGCAACGTTGAAGGGCATAACGACACGGTCTCCCTTCTTGAGAAGAGTGACACCAGCTCCGAGCTCCTCGACAATTCCCATGTTCTCGTGGCCTGTGACATGTCAGGATAAATTCCATGCTAAGCGTACAAAGCCAGTGACTCACCGAACGTGATGCCTGCCTCCGCAGCCGTTCTTCCCTCGTACATGCTGCGAATGGTGAGTTATCGTGCACTAACATTGCTTCGTCGTTCGTAGACTTACTGCAAGTCTGAGCCACAGATGGCAGCCTGTGTTCTTGATTAGCTGCACTGCTCACAGATGGTGGCCGGCAGGGCGGGGAAGGAGGTTTGTCTCACAGTGGTAACTTTGACGATGACATCGTCGGGGTGCTGAATCTTGGGCAACGACACCTCCGAGACCTTGACCTTGTAAGGGCCTTGGTAGTTCACAGCTTTCATTGTTGGGGACGACATGATGGTGATATTATCTGGGCAAAAAGTGAAGCTTTGGCGATTGAGGACAAACTATTTACTGAAGAGCGCCTTGGAGCAGCAACGGTCATATTTATCCCATGAACCCCTCACGAAAGCATCTACCGAGCAAACCACCAAGAACAGCTTCTCCTTCCTTCAGTATGCCCCGGATGACCGGCTCCCACTCAAGCACCGTCATCGCCGCGGGATATCTTTCTAGAACGAGATAGTGGATTGCGCCGCTGCGGGGTAGTGCGGGAAACTTTCGCCAAGACGCGGGGATGCCGTCGCGATCCAGTTTGTGTCCGGCATGTTTTGGAGCTGGTTCACGCTGGTTGATGCACGGGAGAATGGCCGGGGGAGCTGGTGTTTGCTCTCGAGTGGGTGAGGATGAACTCCGAACCCCCGAGAGTTCAGACTAAAGAGTCCCTCATCGGCGAATTAGTGCCTTTTGTAGAGTGCGGGGGAAGAGGAGACCCAACGTGATCCATACCTTAGCTATTAGATAACTCTAGATCTCAGGTCGATGAACCATGAAGCTGCCCTTCAATCCACGAGAGCTTCCCCGCCGCTGTGAGACGGCTGCGAGTGATACACACAGGATCCATTCGACTTACCCCAAGTTTTATTCTTGCATGACGTATTTGGAGAATAAGAGGGTCTCGAGGGACGCGGTTTGGTGAGGAGACGAGCGAAGACGCACGGCACGCGCAGGAATCCAACTTGACTCCGCAATTCTCGCCGAACATTTCTCTTCTGGACCTAATTCTGCAACATGTCCGACGCAGTGGAACTAGAAATAGGCTGCCGAGGCTCTGCAGGGACTTACGTCTATAGCCGCGAGATAGCTAAAGTGAATGATAGAGACTCCACGACGCGTATCTCGCAGAACAGTCTGAGCTGCGTGCGATAGCCGTCACGTTGACACCTTCCGAGAGCGCTGCTTGGCTGCATTATCATGGTATGAGTCTACATGCAAGCCCTCTTGAATCGAGGTCTATCTCCTTCTGCCCCTCGTCAATGATGCAACTCAGACGGAGACAACACCGCTGTGAGCGAGGATGTTCGCGCTCCCACTTCCCGAATTTCCAACAACGCCTTTGACCGCAAGCTCGTTCAACTTCTCTACAACGGCTGCCGCATTCTCAAGAGGAAACAATGCCTGGAGATATGCAACGAGTCCGGCGACATGAGGTGTTGCCATTGATGTTCCAGAAACCACCGACACCTGCCCAGGCTGCCTCCAAAGCGACGGAATGTCAAGACCGGGCGCAAAGATGTTAACGTCGGGTCCAAAGTTGCTCCAGTCTGCCCGACTCCAATTCCAGGCGATCGCGCCGACTGTGATGGCTTTCTGGGCAGAAGCAGGAGACTTGGCCGAAGCGTCCTTGCCATCGTTTCCAGGACCGACCACGGTTGTGACACCAAGATCGAAAGCTGCATCTACTGCCGAGTTCATCGCGTCGCTTTTGGGAAATGCTTCGGTGAGGTCAGCGCGTTCTTTCCCGCAGAGTGAAAGATCTTGGGCGTGTCCTCAACTCACCTAGACTCATGTTGATGACAGCTTTAGAGACCCGTCCGGGGGTGTTGGTAATGTTGTTGACGGCCCAGCTGTACCCATCCAGCACATGAGCAACGGTAGAGTAGCCCTGCCACAGATTCCAACGTTAGCTAATGACACAATAACTAGGATTCCAGAAACCGGTGCACTTACAAGACCCCGAACGACCTTGACATCGATGACGGTCGCTTTCTTCGCCACGCCATATGTAGCTGCGCCAATGATACCCGCAACATGGGAACCGTGACCGAACTCGTCCTCGAAAGGATAATTGGGTGCCCAGGCATTGTAGCCTCGAATGGCACGCCCCTAAAATTCTGCGTGCTCTGTGGTGACTCCAGAATCAAGGACGTAAGCGTAGATCCCTTCTCCGGCGGCGCTATCATACTCGTAAGGACTGGAGCTGCTGCCATCCACCAGAGGAATTGTTGAAGACAGGCTCGAAAGTCCCCACGGAGCAGCTGCTTGGGTGACCAGGGTTGTCACCTCAGCAACTCGGTCTGGCTCTACGCTAACAGCCTTCGATTCCAAGATCAGTTTTCGAGCATCGCCTTGCAGAAGCGCAAAGTCTACTCACATATCCGTCCTTTTCAATCTCTGCAACGGTCTCCGCATCGAACTCTCCGGCGTAAGCCTTGAAGTTCCCGATGCTGAACGTCTTCTCGACTCCAACAGTACTCCGACGAGTCAAACTGCGTTTGTGAACGCTGGCGACCCAGCTCAAGTGGCTCTCAAAATCCGTATTATAGGTGCCTGGGGCAACGCGAATGATGTACTTATCGGGAACGATAGACCCTTCGTTGGAATTCTTCGCCAAGAACGGGCTGGCTAGAACAGCCGATGAGAACCCTAGGAGGGCGACGATGCGCTTAACCTTAGACATTATTCGATGATACGACTAGCCCAGTTGACTTCATTCCCGGAAGACCAGATCAGTACTGATTGATGAGAAGGTTGGAGATTTTATATACGTCGACAGATAGCCTGGTCATTGGAGTCTAAGGACTGTAATCTGTAGCCGTTTCCGCAGAGGAACTTTTCTATTCGTGTCGTTCCAGACAAAACGCAGTCTGGAGTTGACACTCATCTACGACCTTCTATTCAAAGCTGGGCTGTAATCATCACCTCACCTCGTATCCAGGCCAAGACGGCCACTATTGCTGCGATGGGAAGGTGATTGCGGTACAACCCTGATTGCCAAGCACCGTCAAGCAAGATTTGTAACCTCGCAACCTCTAGTAGATGATGTTCACCGCGACTTAGACTCGTTGAGTGGGAATTCGCAGGGGGTTTGATTACGCCACCAGTCTATCTTATTACGTGCTAAAGTAATCTACAACTTCGGGGTTTCTATTCCCAATTCACTTAGTCTACCCCGAGGTTTGCAAGGTCTCCTAGGCGTACGCTTCCTATGTAAGCCTATCACAACAGTGGAGGCTTTAGTCGGTTCAACATCTAATAAAGTAGAGATTCTCTGCTGGGGTTGAAATATAGTTTCAAAGTTCCAGCCTTCGTTGTATCTACGAAGGCCATCATTTGCATGCAGACTGTCGTAGTTCCTGAGTCCTTGCACTGTTGGACATATTTCGAGCTGATTTCGGCTAGAGACTTTGTAAAAGAAAATGTACAACAGGATTGTTCCATCCATACAATCTATGACAGCATGCTCGTGAGGGAAATGGCTCGCCACAACAGGCTTCTAAGTACTTAAAATGGATGTCTCAGTCAGGCGTCTTGGTAACAACATCAACAGCGGTAAGGATATCCTTGGTTAGTATGAACGCAGCGACGCAAAGATTTCACGTAAGTCTTCAGAGGCATACAGAAGATTTGTTTTCATTAGATGATTAAGCTAGCATCTAGTTGACGAAGTTCCAGCACTGCGACTGGTAAATTGGCACATCAACCTCATACAAGGTCTTAGTGTAGAATTTTGTAACATAGGCATCAACGCCCAGATGGAAAGTGCTAGCAAACCAGGCACCATTCTTACACTGCTCTCCGGTAGGCTTCGCGAAAGTAACGCCACTGGCGCTGGTGTAAGTGAAGTCAAGGTCTACCGCAAAGGCGTTCACGACCTGGGGCTTCGCCTCGACTCAAGCAGACATATCGAGGAGGCCGTTGAAGAGCTTAACACCCAAAGCGACGGTCAGGCCAGCGAACGGGTTCAGTTGGAGTTCTACTTGAGCGTTGATGTCTGTGGTGACGTTGGTTTGAGGCTTCCAGCCTGTGGTAGAGGTCTTGGCGGAGTCCAAAAAGTCAAGATGAACTTGAGCATCGGCAATGGTTGAGACAACGTCCACGGAAGCCTTGACCACACCGGATGCAGCAAACTCAATACCGAGGCCGAAGTCCACCATGGGGCCGACATCGACGATGCCGGGAATAGTGAAGGCATAAACAGACACGGACAGGGGGTTGTAGTTGTACAAGTCTGTCGTTTCTGGGCTGGTCGAAGAACAGCTTTCTCAGGCAAAGCAGCGGCTAAGCTGGAGCCAATAAGTGCCTGGACGGCCAAAAGAGTGGAAATTGAAGGTCTCATAATTGAAGCAAAGTGAGTGACTGTGAAAAATGAGAGAATCAACGAGATTGAAATGAGTGAAATCCGAAGGGTAGTCGAGACTACTGGTGGACAGATAACTTTGTTAATCGTGATGTGATTTAACCAACACTTTTGGCCGGATTACATCATTGGTTTTATATGCTGTGCTAAATCTACTGGGAGACTGAGCAGAGACTATTCGAGAAGCATCTCAAGAACCTCTTGAGAACCCTCGAGCTAAAAAAGAATCAGAGTCCACTTCACGCGTCTTGGACCGGGGCTCGGGACATCGCCGCATCGTGACAGCTGAGCTCAGCCGCGTCTGGTGGAACAAACATATCTAATATGTGTGTTCGTGAGCGCGAGCCGCGGCGAGCGAGACATCAAGGCCACTGCTCTCGCCCGGGAATGTTAATTGCTGACCAGGATATCCGTATGCCATGTCAACTTGTGCTGTTGTTGTTAATTTTGGGCACTGCCGCCGGCAAGAGAAAAGAGTCACTCTGCCCACAGAGCCGTGAACTCTTGAAGCAAAGCCCAACGGGCAAGTTCCGAACGGCTCACCGTTGCGGTTTCCCCTTGTCTGGATTCCAAGGTCCCCATATCCCCAGACACACTCTACCTGGTATGCAGAACTCTCAGCGCCAGTTATTGGTAGATGGCAGGGAGCTTCACACGAGATGCTTGAGACTCGCGACTCAGCCGGCAAACGCTACCATGTGCTTAATACTGAAAAAAAGTGGATGAACACTCGAAGCCCACTGTCGGTTCTCGACCCCATGTATCTCAAGCTGGGGATGCCGCGGAGAAGGCCCCCAATTCAGTTACATCCGATCTATCACGACAGTCTCCCCTTGTTTTAGCCCCTGGAGAACTGGAGGGCTGAGCCTATCTCAATGGATGGCCAGCAGGTGATTCGTGTTGCTTGAAATTGAAAAGCACCAAGCCTGGCTTGGGTCACAATAGTAGCTTAATGATTGTTACCTCACAGGTCTTGAGAAAACAATTGGTTTTCAGGACTCTATCCCATCAACTGCTAGACGGCGTAAGTACATCCGTCACTGGTATTTCTCTAACTTCACTTCCTTTTCAAACTATTCATCGGCGGACATGAGGGGAATGGGGTCTGATAGAACTATTTGTTGGTATTCCTTTCACAGGGAATTTGGTTCGAACCGTAGGGTCCTGGGGGTGACGAAGTATCAATATCTCTGTATTGATTGATTCTGCGTAAGGAGTAGAAGGGAGATTCTAACCGGAGGTTGGGTGCACCGTTGCCGACGAGTATAACCTGCACTACGAAACGCACAATTTTGCCTTTTCTTACAACCTTCCGCGACTTGATGTGCGGTCACAACTGAAGGACATCACTGCACCAACACTCGTCGCGACCGGGAGGCATGATGTTGTCGTACCTGTTGAGTATGGAGAAGAAATTAGTAGGGGGATTCCAAACAGCGAGTTCTTGGTCTTTGAGAAGTCTGGTCACAGTCCGCCAACTGACGAGCCGGAAGCCTTCCAAGAGACTGTCTCCTACTTTCTTTCAAAGTGGGCTAAGTGAAACCCCCAAACCCTCGGATTTAAGGTTTTGGTGAATTGAAGTAATATCTTGCTGCTGGGTTCAATGTTCTGTCTCTATTAGGCCATCTCCTGGACAATTGGTCTTTCTGCTCGGTTCATAATGTGTCCTTGACAAGCTTGCCCTGCACATACACTTGAGCAATGTTACGGTCATCTCCCGTCATCAAAAACTTTTCGAAAACCGTTCGAAGGCAGTCAGTCTCTTCTCGAACCGTCATGACACCAAAGGCTTCATCGAGGGAGCTTGTGACAAGTATCGCATCAAACGCCTTGCCCACGGCAAAATTGCCGATCTTGTCTTCAAGGCAACAAACTTGGGCTCCACCAAGTGTCGAGAGGTAGAAAACCTCGTCCAGAGAGAGTGCCTTGTCTTTGCCGCCGGACATCACCTCGCGCGCGTTGGAAGCTATAATTGCCTGGCGAATGCTGTCGAGCATGCTTGACGAGAATCCGCCACCGCTGTCGGTACCCAGGCCAACCTTTATCCCTTTGGTCAGAAACTGGCGTATGGATGCTGCCATGAAGCCTCCTCCAACTGTCATGTTCGAGATTGGGCAGTGCGCAACACCACACTGAAGCTCCTTGATCTTGTCCATCTCGTACTCTGTCATGAAGGTGCAATGTGCGAGAATCGATCGCTGGTTCAGGAGACCATAGTGTTCATAGAGGTCTGCCTCACTTGAAAATTGTGGGAACAGTTCTCTTGTTACTTTGATCTCCTGTTCAGCTTCATTGAAGTGCGTCTGAATTGCCAGCTCTGGGTCTTGGGCTGCCATCTGACCAAGACCTTTGAGCAAATTGAGGGTGCAGCATATAGCGAATCTCGGGGTCAAGACAGGGCGGATCAGCTGTCCGGTCGGGTCGATCTGGCGAATGTGTTTGACGCATTCTTCCGTTTCCTTGAGAGATGATTCGGCAGATTCGTCGTGGAGATAACTTGGAGCGTTTCGATCCATATTACACTTTCCCACGAAAGCCCTCTGGTTCAGCTGGTGGCAGATGTCCGCCAAGATCTGGGTCGCTTCGGAGTGTTTCGACCCATAGTAGGAAGCAGTAGTGATGCCTTGCTTGAGAAAGCCCTTGACGCAGCTCTCGTAGACCTTGCGAGCGTAGACAGGATCTGAGAAGCGGGCTTCGTGGGGAAAGGTGACTTGATCGAGCCAGTCTAGGATATGAAGACCCTGCCCCTGTCCTCTCATTGCCCATTGCGGAGCATGGTTGTGCGTGTCGATGAATCCGGGCGATAGAAACTGGCCTTTGGAGAGGACTTCGACTTCATGGTCGCTGGGAAGCTTTTTGGAAAGCTCTTCAGGGGATATTTGGGTGTAGATTTGAGAAATCAGTCCATCGGATCCAACGACGATTCCGGCGTTATCAAGTATTTCTACCTGATTGGGGCCAAGCGAGTGGATGACTGCTCCATGGAATGCTGTCGCCATGCTTGAGGATGCGCTCAACAATATGCGGGTTGCTATTGGGGGCAATTAGAAGGTTTTGTAGCGTGAGTTGGGTGAAGAGCCTATCCCAGATAATGAAGAAGCATGTGGTGATAGTATCAAATCAAGATCTGTTGGAATTCCGAATGCCAGCAATGTGAGGGGATATTGGTGTACTCACGGTACGTACCGTCCGTGGTTCCTGTGGAGATAGCGACGGGCTTTGTCTTATCGCAGATAAGCTTTCTCTTCGGTTGAGCTCGGGTGAGTTTACACATCGTCAACATCTCACACCTTTGCCTCGCTCTCGCTCGGTATGAGCCCTGCATGTCTGTTTCTCACTGACGATACTAGTTTATTATATGACCACCTTGGGAATAAGATATACAGGCTTGAATACTTCTCAAGTCGAGAGATTGGAGTCCACCTGATACGCTCGTGCCTGAAGAGAACATCTCTACAGCCACCAACCTGACCTGCCGCCTACATCCGCTGCTGCTTCGACAGGCCCTAGTTCCAAGAGGGATCTTTCAGTCACCAAGAAATATGTCATCAGATACCCTATCTTCATATCGCAAGACCCAGCGCGCACCAAGAAGTTGTCGAGCCTGCGCTGCGCGGAAGGTCAAGTGCGACAAAAGACTACCATGCTCAACTTGTATTCGTCAAGGCACACCTGAGTCATGTTCTCGAGAGCTTGTGATGGTGCGTGGTGAAGTTACAAGGTCGGTTCTCATCCCTGAACACGGTTTGAATCAAGCTGACTGGAATCTTGAACTGTAGAGGGAAAGACCCAGTGCAATTGCCGACATATGATGAGCTGGTCCAGGAAAATCAACGACTAAGAATGGCTCTCGAGTCATCCGCTCAAGTCCGTCCTACTTCTGACTCACTTCTTCGGAAGCCGAGGACTGCGCAGAAGTTATTGGAGTGTCATGATCCGTTGGAAGAAATGGTGTTCAAGTCTCCAGCACTTTCACAAGTGTCTCGACATGGCCAAGGATGGAGCACGATCGATGTACCTTGTCGAAAGTCTAGCGAGCTCCTAATCGCGTATGACAAGAAGTGGAATTCCTGGGTCCACTATGCCCTCGAATATCCCGAGTTCGAGCGGGAACATGCCCATTTCATGGATTCTCTAGAAAGTGGTACTATCTTGTCAGATTGTGATCCAGGTTGGTTATCAGTGTATTTTGGTGTCATTACGGTCAGTCGCGATAAGGACTCCTGCTTCGTATATCTCAGCACTGACTTGGCTATCTTTAATAGGCTGCTCTGTTAATGATGGGTGATGAGGAAGCTCGTGAGATACTTCCTGAAGGTGAGAAAACGCCTTAAGGCTCCGAATACTTGTGCACACGCCTAATGGTGTCTACCAATGTTCAGGAGACCTCGAAAGTATACTGCAACAGTGGTATAAGACCGCCTTGTTCTGCCTCGAAGAAACAGACTACATGAGAACTAGCACAATTCGCCCTGTTCAGGCAATCGCAGTACTTGGCATTTGCTTTCACAACTTCGGGGACTCTGGCTTATACCGTCATCTTTGGAGCTGCGCAATTCGCATCGCGCGGAACCTCGGGCTCGATGGCTCTCACGCCACACATCCCACTTCAGAGCTAGGACTCGAAGCTCAAAGGCGTCTTTGGTGGACTCTGATAGTTTGTGAATGGTATGCCGGAGTCGTGATCAGAACTGCGATGTATGGGAGAGCCAGTGCTTACTTCTCCCAGGCTTGCGGTTCCTTACTACGTGCCACAAGTAGACGAAGAAGATTTCGATATACCACTTCCTTCGGACGAATCTGATGTTGAAGGCCCTCAGCCGGTGTTGTATCACATCTTCATGGCAAGAACCTCGACCGTTTATCACAGATTTAGATCAGCGCTGCGGGAAGGCACACGGTCAGTTTCCGAAATTGTTCGCCTAGCCGATGATGAACTAGCAGAAGTCATCAACACCTTGCCAGCCCATCTCCAGCCTGATGGTGGCAAAAGCAAGGAAATGCAAGAGCTAGAGATCATTTATCCCTGGATCAAATGGCAACGATTCGACATCAGCCTCGTGCTCCTTCATCATCGGATGCGCATCAACCGATCTCTACAGAAAGAATGGCTAGCAGCTCCTGGTCTGTATGACTGGGCACGAGCAGTGTGTATTCGTTCTGCTATGGATATCATCTGGATAACCCACAATTGGGATCAGCCAGTCGCAATGCGGAGACAGTGGTAAGTTATGGGATATCATATTGTTTGAAGAGGCCCTGACACGTTCTCAAGGGCGTTATCGATGCATATTTTCGTCGCTGCCATCTTCCTACTCAGAGAATCCCAAAGGGCCCAGTCTGGTGCTGAAGTTGATTTCACAGACGAGGTGCAGCTTGCCATCGAATACCTCAACGAGGTCAAATCACGCAACGCCATAGCAGAGAGGGCAGTTTCTATTCTCAGGTCTTCACTGGATGAAGAAGATTTGGCAGCAGAGCTTTCATGACATCAACTGATATTCTTCTTATCTCTTCCTAGTCCCACCCAGCCTACAATCCAAAACCAAATGCACGTTTTGCTTCCGCACTCAAATCTTCCAGTCCTACGTATCCCTTGAGTGTGCTTTCGTTTAAATCATTCCCTTCTTGCTGGTCTGGCGGTGGTCTCCCCGCAAGAGTCTCAGAAAGTTGCATCTTCACATATGCCTTGTTGTTTGTAGTAGTGGGGCATGCGGCGATGTATAAAACGGATGCATTCTCCGATCCCTCGTGCACTGGATCGACGGCATGGCAAACCTACATCGGGACCATTAGTCTCCGTTGACTTCAAATCACCGCGAGCAAGACTTACATCAGTATGCCACCAAACAGTATCACCTGGCTCCATCTTGGGCACATGGATGAGGCACTCCTTCAGCCTCAGGTGAGGATGCGACGAGCGACTCAGCCGCTGGCTCTGGGTCTTGAACGTCCCAGGGAAATAGCCAGATTCGTCAAGAGTCCACTTGCTTGCATCCATCACATTTGCAGAGTCGACAGGAGGCTTGAAAAATGGTCTCAATACCATGTATGCAACGACACTAGCGACGTTGGGGTAGACGAGAAGTGTTCCCTCGCTTGGGGCTGTTCGTGTTAGGGCAGTCCACCCCTGGAAAGAGCGGAAGACCGATGAATGAGCAACACCTGGATACAACTCTTGGTTGGCAGCTTGACGGAAGCTGAGGTCGTAGGGATCATGCATCTCAGGCTTGCCCGAGAAGATGTTGCCATACACTTCTCTGTATGCCGCATCTGCCCAACGAGCCAAGCTACCAGCGTCTATGTGCGGCCCGAGTCCAAGGAATTCTTGTTGTGGGGGTCTGTCTCGTACTCCGTCGTAGTACACCAAAGAGTCTGGGGACGTATCTTCACCGCTTTCGTCGTGCCAAAGCTGGTTGAGGAGGCGTTGGAGTTGAAGGTGATTGGGGTGTGATCTGACGGCATTCTGGGTCGGCGAGTCGTACAGCATCAGCATTGAAGGGGTCTCTTTAGGCCACCCCTGGATTTTGTGCTTGTTTTCGGCGACGTAGTGTTTGAGTTCTTCGTAGTGCTGAGTTGCCTCAGCCTTGGGAATTACCCCACGAACAACAAAGGTGCCGACTCTCTTCAATTCGTCCCTTTCGGTTTCCGTGAAACCCTTGTCAAGGAGGTTGTGGGCGTCGAAGACTGGTATAATTGTGCGACCCTTGCTGACTATCTCATCAGTGACAGCCTTGAGCTGTTCACAAACTCGAAACCAGCTTTCTCTCAGAGCCTCTGCACCATACTGAGATATGACGGCCTTCTTGGTGCTGAAGAAGTCTGGGTCTTTCAGTTCATGGACATCCTTATCGGTGTACTCCGGCCACGCAGGCCACTCTCGGACGCTTCCGGGCATGCTGAAATGGAAAAGATTGCTCTTCCAAGATTTTGGCTGGGCTGGGCTTGAATCGTGTTGGTGGTTGAAATCTTGAGCACTGGGACCTTAAGTAGCTTATCATCCGCCGCCCGTCATCCCGGATTTCCGATATGGTTTTCCAACCCCACGATGGCTCATACCTGCGTATGGTCGCGCTGCCGGCCTGGCCAATGGTTCGGTCTGTCAAGACTCGCCCGAGCTCGCCCGAGTGATTAAGCTCATGGGAAAGGTCACATTTCCCCGCGATGGCATTTTGGGATAGGTGATTTATCCCAGTTGGTAGTTACGAAGTGGGCTTGCGATAGGCTCACCCGAGCTCGACCGAAGCCTTGAGGCAGCCAATCAACTTGGAGAGATCACAAATCACTACGACTCATAAACAATGGGATATAAGGGTGGTCAAGAAGTCCTGCTTCAACGTGGAGTGATTATGAATAAAAGTCAGACGATTTGTATCCGAAAACACCAAATAGCAACATGGGGTTTGAGCGCAAATATGTCTCCAGGTTGGTACCAGCCAACCTGAAGGTGTTGTCTCCTTTGCTACTCGCCGTAGCCATTGTAAACTCGGCAGTGAGTACACCATCACAAGACTCGAGAGTCTCGCTAATCATGAGTTAACAGACCCTCGGATACGATGCCTCGGTTATGAACGGCCTCCTTATTCTCCCCTCATATACCGAATACTTCCACTTAACCCCTGCTTTAGAGGGTCTCAATAACGCTGCATCATGGATGGGGGGCATTCTCGGTGCATTTCTGATGCAGCCTGTACCAGACTACTTCGGACGTCGAAGAGCTATCCTGGTCGCGTCAGTAATCACAGTCGTCGGCATCATTCTCCAAGCCGCAGCTCAGAACATCGCCATGTTCGTCATCGCCAGAATCATTGTCGGTATCGGCTCTGCTATCAGCAACGGCGCTGCTCCGACTCTACTGGGAGAACTCCTGCCTGCTCGGAAGCGTGGCCGAATCCTCGGTCTCTTCTTCTCATGCTTCTATGTGGGAAGCTTGGCCTCTGCCATTGTCAACTACGGCAGCCAAAACATCCAAAGCACCTGGTCATGGCGTCTACCCTCCCTTCTTCAGTTCGTGCCTAGCTTGTTGGCAGTTATCCTGGTGCCATTTGTTCCAGAGTCGCCTCGCTGGCTGATTGCCAAAGGTCGTGACGACGAAGCTCTTGAGATTCTTGTCATCATGCAAGGCAAGGGCGTCGAAGATGTGCAGCAAGGCCAGGAGACCTTGCATGAGATTAGAACTATTATGAGGAAGGAGGAAGATGAATACCCTCGAAACCCGTGGAGAGAGATAGTGTCCACGCCCGCCAATCGGAAACGCCTCGCCATCCTTTGCACCTTCGGTCCCATGATCAACATGTTTGGCAACTTTATCATCTCGTAGGTACCATCCGTCCTTTCCCGTGATTTCAACTTTGCTTACCTGGTGCTAGGTCTTACCTTACCAAGATTTTGAGTCAGGCTGGTATCAGAGACACAGTGAAGCAGACCCAGATTCAGGTCATTCTGAATTGTTGGTCTTTTGCTGTTGCGGTCTTTGGCAGCTTCATGCTCGACATCTTGGGTAGAAGGAATCAGACCTTTATTGGCGTGGGTGGTATGATTGCCATGCTCTATATCGTGGGCGGCCTTATCAAGAGTGAGTCTTGAACTCAACCTTCGCGCTGTCGACCGAGAGCCACAGACTTGCTGCGAACGCGGTATGGAGCCAGCGACTAACTCCGTAGCATATGGCGAATCCACCAATCAATCCGGGATCTACGGCACAATTGCAGTCATCTTCCTATTCCAAGGGTTTTATGCTTTTTCCATCACGCCAATGACTAGTTTATATCCCACTGAGGTTTCGCAGTACAAGCTCCGAGCTACAGGAATCGCAATCTTCCGCATGTTGGACTCTGGATTCGGGCAAGTTTACCACATCGTTCTCACTAAACCTCTTGCTAACATAGTGTAGTCTGCTGGCTTCGTTTACTATGGCATACGCTATGGCAGATTTGGGATGGAAGTTTTATCTCATTAATGCTTCCTGGAATGTGGTCTTCCTTGTCATAGCATACTTCACGTTTGTGGAGACCAAGGGACTTAAGCTTGAAGAAATCGCGGCCAAGTTCGAAGGACCTAGGATTCTGGAGGCGAGCATGGAAGATTCGGCCTCACACAACATTGGGATCACTGCGAAAGGGATGCAGAATATTGATACAAAGTCTTTGTAGATGCGATACTTCAGAGCTAGAATATAAGGAGTCGAGAGAGAGATCATGAAAAGCTGTCTTCCCTAAGATCTTGGGCATCCCCTCCAGATACAAGTTCTGTCACTCAAGATTGACCTCAACTTGGGCGATAATCGCATCCATCTCATCTGAAGTTGGAAGATTGACAACCATTAGGTAGAGAGCATCTTGTCGCATCAACTTCTTCAGCGGCCGGTTTCTCTTCCGCTTCTCGCGAGCTTCCTTTCCAAATCTCGGCTCCCTGCCTGAGTCTTCGAAACGTTGCTGTCGTCTCTGCTTCAGACGTCGAATGGGACCTTTGTGGCTCTCAGTCGAATTGGAAGCCTCTGGTCCTTCTTCTTCAGACGAGGCTTCCGGCATGAGCTTCGAGTCAGGGTGTTCTTTCCTGAATCTGTCCGTAGCCTTTCGGTCGTAGTACTTTGAGATGAAGTCTCCAAATTTCTTCACCATGTTTTGCTTTTGCCCCTCATCCATCTTATCGAGTTCAGGAAACACCAGCGGCGCTGGCTCGGGTATCTCGGCCTCGCTCTTCGTCGTGGTAGATGACGAGTGCAGCAACTTCTTCCACTTGCTCTGTTTCTCACTGCCTTCCACGGCCTGGGTGATGTTTGAAGCCAAATCGACATTTTCAACGACTTCGCTGCTGGACGGCTTGTACTTGACAACAAGAGCATACAAGCCCCGAGGTTTGAAGAAGTTTTCGTTCATGACTTCGAGGTAGTTGTTTTGTTTGTAGTTCACGTAGCCCCGGCGAGACGTCTCGAGCCCCGTCTGCACCGCGAGCGTCACAAGCATTGTAATAGGCGCGAACCCACCAACGACGGTGTGGGCGAGATCAGCGCCCATGACGCCGGCGTTCACAACCCCGAGCCACGGGCTTCCTTTGATGCTGCTCTCGAAGCCGTCTAGGAACTCGAGCCAGGAAGCTTGATCGATGCCGCACTCTTCTAGGACTGGGGCATAAGCTCGCACGAAACCGCGGTGTCTAGCCTCGGGCCGACGTTGAGGGAGTATGACAGACATTGGGAGATGATGCATTTCGCTTCCGAGGTTAGAGGCCTCTGGTGGTGGATGTTGAACGATGAACTGTGCCAGCATTCCCTCGATATCTTCGACTGGTGCTCCATGTTGATTGCCGGAAGACTGTGATAGAGCGTGCTGGGCTTCGTCCAGCGATAGGGTCCAATCTTCGTCAACTTCGGAATCATCACCCGTTGCCTGCTGTTGGGCTACTGTTGTAGGACCAGATGCGACTGATGATCTTGCTTGGGCCGTCTGAATGGGCACATTATTTTTCTGTTGCGCCGCTGATGGGTGTTTCTGATCTCCCTGGAATTTCTTTGCGGCATCGACAGCGCTGCCGACGATTTTCGAGATCGGCCCTCGGCGGTTCAGCATCTTGCAGCGGTATCGGCGAGCTAGCTCTCAGTCGAATGCTAGATATGTCACCCTGAAGCCGAGAGAAATCTCAGAGAAACTTGCACGAGACTAGTTCTTTCGCACAGCACTTTGTACCCGATATGACATGGTTATGAAGAGATGAGCATTCCCCGCGACTGAACATGTCTCTCAGGCAACAGCCTTCAGTGTCCACGATTCAGAGAGCTGACGAGAGAGTTTAGCGTAGGATTTCAGGCGGGGTAAAGAGACGAAAATCCCCAAATGTCCCTTGTCTCGGGCGCAAGCCACCTCCAGATGCCTCTGAGTTCTCACACGAAGGCATACTATCGACGAACCAAAGAGCATCAGATTTTGGCCTCAAATGGCTCCCAAGTGAAATTCTCTCGTATGCCACACTCCTTGGGAAAGAATCATCGCAAGCGAAGAAGACTGTCGTAGAATTGAGTTTGTTCGGAGAAAAGAAGATTGGGGTGGTGCCGCTGATCAGGAACAGCAGATGAACCCATCCGACAGGGTACATGGGTCACTTGCAAGACCATGCTGGCAGAGCCGATCGCAGAAGCCAGGGAACGAAGACACAAGCGGCAGGCAATTGCGGCATGGTCAAGAGTCAAGGCAACAGCTTTGCTTGGTGATGGTCTCGAAGACCACATCACGTAGCAAACGATGCTGAACGGCTCAGATCCCTGGTTTCGTTGAGCAAGACTCAGCTCTCGAGGACTAAGATTGAGCTTGTTTGCCTTGATTTTCATGTTGGTTGCACAACCGCGTCATAATTGGGCTTTACCTCCACACAATTGCCATCGGCTATTCTCGTCTCGAACCCCCTCCTTTAGTGACACTAACCTCACAGACGGCCATTGTTGGCCGTGCAATTTCCAGGATTTCAGTCAAGGGCTTCGAGCCTTCGACAAATGAGAGACTCTCGACGCGTCAGCCGGTGCCATCGACTGGATCTCAAGCGTCAGAAGCGTCAACACCGAAATCTGCACCCAGCAGATCCCCATTCATCAGACAGCGCCACATATGACAGCCACTGTGGCACCAGCTAAACCTGAAATTCCTGGGGTAACGTAACCGTGTGGCGGGTGTTCTCGTGGCGCCCCTCCTAAATGACGACTGCCAATGGAGGGACATCCCACATCGTGAGTGGAGAGCCCGTTTCCCTGTTTTCAAGGACGAACCTCTTCGGATCCGTGTGCCGGAGCGCGTCCAAGACCGGAGACAAGCTTCCTACTACTGCGGGAGCGGATGGAAGCTCGATCACACATCCCCGCAGCTCACGTCATGAATCCCTCCCTCGCCGTCATGAAGGTGCTTCTCGAACCGAAGTTTTGCGCTCGGGATGTGATTCTTTTGCCAGCGGAACTCCACATGAGCTCATAGCAACACAATTGGAAGCTGAGACATGGCCGGCTGATGCTGCGAAGACGGCGGCAAGATGGTCTGGACCTCTAGGCTAGAGAACTTGAGGAAGTGACATCACGTTGGGAGTTGGATCAGAAAGAACGAACATCGTGTCTCGCGAAGAGTACTTGAAGCTCTCTGTCCCTCAGCTTAATCGTCACAGAAGAACACACAACACAATTTGATACCAATAACACAACACAATCTACTTTGATACCCCAATAATCAAGCATCAGTCTTTTATCTTACCATCATCATCAACTTTGTTTTACTACCTCTACAACTTCAATAAGTCAATCAGCAATCATGGGTTTGGGAGCTAAGATCAAGAACGCCCTCCACAGCGACGACCACCCTCAAAAGACCACATACGAGGGTGAACAGCCTCCCGGAGCATTCCCCTCCGACTCTACCACAGCTGGAACCTCCAAGCACACAACCGGTGGATACACCGGAGGAACTACCGGTACCACAGGCACCACCGGAAGCCATACAACGGGTACCATCGGCACTGGCACTCATCACACCAGCAACACCACCACTGGCTACAATGATCCCGATGGTGTTCACGGCCCCCACGCCGGAAGAGTAGGTAACAAGGCCGACCCGAGAGTGGATTCTGACCGGGACCACCGCGGTGCACCCACCTCCGGCTTGACCGGCAACACCCACGGCACCACTCACGGAACAACTGCCGGCCACACCGGAGGCTTGACCGGCAGCAACACTGCAGGATACAGCAACACCACGACAGGCTACGATGACCCTGATGGAGTCCATGGCCCGCATGGAGGAAGAGCTACCAACAAGCTCGACCCCAGAGTCGACTCGGATCGCGACCACCGTGGTGCTCCAACTACAGGCTTGACCGGTAACAACACCTACGGCAACACCTATGATAACACTACCAGCACCGGTCACTCCGGAGGCCTGCACAGTAACCCTCACGGCACTACTGGAGGCATTGGAGGCGTCGCCGGCAACACCACCACCGGCTACAACGACCCCGATGGAGTTCACGGACCTCACTCCGGAAGAGCTGCAAACAAGATTGATCCCAGAGTCGACTCGGACCGTGACCATCGCGGTGCGCCTGGCGCCGGCCTCACCGGCGCCCACCGTCCCCACGACTCCGGTGTCGAAGTCGGCCACGGTGTTGGCCACAACAAGCCCTACAAGGGCGAGTACCTTACCAACGCCGAGCGCTCCAACGCTCAAGACCCCTATTGGGGTGACGTCGGCCGCGATGGTGCTGCCGTCAACAAGGATCTCCCTCTGCGTCCCAACGAATCTACTGTCGGCCACGGAGGCCCTCAGGCCGTTGGCGGAGGTCACTATAACCCTACGGCGTCCACTCACCACGACCCTGCCTCCAGCGTCGACCGCTCCATGGAGGGCCGCGACTTCACTCACCCCCATGGCTCCGGCGCCGGAGTCGGTAGTGCCGGCGGTGATCCCTACAGCGGTGTCCACAACGCTGCTCACAACCCTCAGGCAGCTCTGTCCGGCGGTAACGTCAACGACCCGTACGATACTCGCATGAGAGATAGAGACATGGGCCGTGAGCGCACCGGACACGGAGCTGCTGGTGCTGGCATTGGCGCCGGCATTGGTGCTGGTGCTGCCGTGGCTGCCGGCCAGGCTGCTCACAGACATCACCGCGATGACATGCATGAGTCTGGCATTGCTGGCAACAACACCGTTGGCGGCGTCAACTCTCCCGTTGGCCACAACACCCATGGAACCCACGGCGGCGTCACCGGAACCCACGGTGGTGTCACTGGCACCCATGGTGGTGTTCACGACCACCACCGCTCCAGCCTGACCGGCAGCGAGCCTGGTGTTCCCAAGACCAGCATGCTCGACCCCTACAACGAGTCTCCTACCGGCACCAACGGCGTCCACGGCACCCACAGCAACGCTGCTGGCACTGGTCTCGGGGGACACACTGGATCTTCCGGTTTGAACCAAGGTATGCAATCTTCCCATGTCCCTGGCACCACCGGCCTGGGACCCCAAGGAATGGGCCCTGACCATTATGGCCCAGGACATGACGGAGCCAAGGTTTTCCACACCTGCACCAAGTGCGGCGAGGACAATGATATTAGCAGATACTTCAAGAAGGAAGCTGTTTACCGTATGAACTAAGGGATTTGATGAAAGCGAGCATTGTACCTATATCATGTTGTATTCATAGTTAACTCATAATGATCATGACCTTAATGGCACTATTACATCAATTTTGACTTCCTCGATGTGTTCCAAAAATGCGGTGGTCCCCGTGACACTTCATGAACTCAACTCTTACTCCACCATCGCCCTCGATTAGTTGAATTGTGGAATTCTTTCCGTAAAAGTTTCATTGATTTCCATTGAAATTCTCTCGCATTTGGTCATTGAAATAGAGGTTTGGATTCAATCGAACACCGAAAACAGTTACTAACGTCTCTTCCACCGTATCCGCATATCTCTGTCCGGCGGTACAGCTCCCGCCCCAACATACGCCTTGTCATTTTCAGGCGGTCTCTCGGAATGCGACCCATCAAAGTTGACCCAATCTTCAAATTCAATATCAAAACGAGACGCAATCATGGCGACGGCCAGCATGATCTCCTGCTTGGCAAAGAAACGCCCCGGACACATGGACACACCACCACCTGCATCATATGTTAGTCATGGCCATGGTAGTGATTGGACACTTTCGGCTCACCGTAGGGGAAGAAGTCGCTCGGTCTTCCAGCCATGGCAAATTCCTTGATTTTGTGGACTTTGCCATTTTCATCCTCCTTCTCGACGTGCTTGATGTGACGTTCCGCCCAGAATTCCGATGCAGGGTGCCCCTCGACACCCCAAACCGATTCTTCACGGTGGCCAATCTGCGTTGGTGCTTGGATCAGAGAGCCTTTACTAAGATGATAGCCATCTAATTCCATTGGCTCCATTACTTCTCGGGTGATATTGATGGACACATGCATTCGCAGTGTTTCGACATAGATGGACTGAAGCAAGGGGAGGGTGACAAGCTTTCCCACGTCAAAAGTCGGCTTCCCTGTCTTGGGATCCGTAATGGTAACCGCGTCAACTTCATGACGGACTGCTTGGAAAAGCGCCTGGTCTTTAATGACTTCCATAACGGCCCAAGCTGTTTGAGGAACGGAGTTTGAGTTGATGCTACAAGAATAAAGTCAGTCAGCGTGTTTACCCGACCAGATTAGAGACCGGGTGTCGCACCCTGTAATATTTCCAATGTACATCCCAGCACGCGACTGAAGAGAGAATCCCTTCTTCTGCCAAAATTTCGTATGTTCACGTTGGAGTCTCGAGCCAAAAATCGGTTCCCAGTCCGCATCAGCATCCGGTCCGTTCCAATCGAACTTGGCCCACGCGTCCGTCACGAAGTCCGACATCATGGACAAAGTCTTGCGCTGAATCTGTTTCGGTCGGGGATTGATCCAAGTTGGAAGGCCGTACATGAGCTGCATCGCAATCGTATCGAATCCCCAGAATATGTCGACGAATTCCGGATGATCCTCAATCAGTTTTCGCCCTGCAAGCGATATCGTTGCAGCTTCTGCCATATCCTTTTTGAGATACTTGAACAGTTGCAAGGTTTTCCACTCATCACGCGGCTGCTGGTCGAGTTTCTCGCCGAAGAAGGTGATGAATGACTCCGCTAACCTTGCGGTAGCCTCGGCGCGAAAGAGATGCTCGTTGAAGACGTGATGCAAGTCAACCCAGAACCTCTGATTCTCAGGCATGCTCTCAGTGCCCGCGGCTGGTGTCTTCAGACGACCAGATCTGTCGTTGTACATCACCGCCACGTCCTCGTCGGTCATCCCCTGCACCCGGCCATTGACCATGACGATGAACTTGTCCGAGCTGAGCGTGTTGTTCGAGCTGTTGCGAAATAGCTTTTGCACATTGTGAGAGCCTGCAACCAGATAGACAGTGTTGGCACCGAGATTGAACTTCACGACGCTGCTTTTCTTTAATGCTTCGGTTGCGCGTTCGAGGAATCTGCTGTTGTCCGTGATGTACTGATATGTGTTTGAGACATAGGGAATGAGGCCCGGCAAGCTCGGAGGCTCGTTTGCCTTTGGCCTGAATACATGGCGGAGGAAAGCTACGCCTAGCAGTGGTAGCAATAGCCATGTGATGATGGGTGATGTCGCATGTTGTTGGAGAGACTGTAAAAGCCCCAGAGATTGGCCAAGCGCGTCGGATGTATTGGTTGAAGCCATCACAAGCCGTTTCACAAGCAATAACTCCAATCAATATGCGAGGCGCTTGATGTTGGAATAAAGCAGTGGCATTAGTGAGGGGTAGCCAGACTGATAGCTTTGTCTCGGAGACGCACAATTTCATCATCCGAAGTTTGGCTTTGAGTTATCCCGCCGGTGCGTATCGCTAGGTTGGAAACGTTACACTAAGCCCATTCAAATCGTCATGAACATGGATGCCCAAGGTTTAAGCTGAAGGATCGAAGGCATCATGCATGCAGCCGGCCAATCTTCTACGAGAACGTCGAAGGTCAGGAACGTGTCGACTGCATGTACGGCAAACACAACAGCAGCCGGCGTGGTGTAGTGGCATACACCTGGCAAGGCCTCTGGAGCCCAGAGGTCGCTGGTTCGATTCCAGCCGCCGGCAACTGCTTTAACTACCTGTGGGAAGGGTAGGGCAGAGCCCAACGCGGGGCCTAGGACCCTTTCCGGGCCCTCGACAGGGTTTTCTCATATCCACACCCTCCGACCAAGAACGAGTACACGTCGTCAAACAAGTACTGGGGCAGGAATGGTCTTGTACAAATCAGAACATGTACGAGGGGCCTGTTTCGGCAGGCCGCCCTCTCCAGACATATCCGGCCTTAAGCCGCAAAATTCAAGAATGGAACTGGGGCACCAGCGGGAACCAGGGACAGATAGAACGCATAGTAGCCATAAGGCACGATTTGGAGGACGATTTGAACTGTATCTAGCAATAGTTATAGGGCGACGGCTCTCCACGCCATATACCCTTCGGGAGGTCGGCCGCAAGGGCGGCTGCGCCCTTGCCGCCACGGCGTTAAATATAACAAACAAACAAACAAAAAAAACACAACAGCATCTTCAGTTGAGTGTTCTCGCTCATTTCTCGTTTAGACACAATTAGTTAGACACCTTGACAAAGGATTGCGCTAGAGCCGAATGCCACCAATCCCAGCGCTGATATATGCAGGAGGGTAAGTGTCATTTTGATGGCACTCCATGACCCTGGTCGGGCGCACGTAGTGCACTGCACCGCAGCCCACATCTCATTCTTCGTCTACGTTACTTGTACACTTGCAGAATGTTCTTCATGCACCGTTGGTAGCCTTCAAGTGCTCGGTGTTCGTTGCAATGCTTTGCTCTAAAGAGATCCAACCCGGCCTGCCCAGTCTCTTCAGAAGGCCTTCTGCCCTTGCAATTGGCTTCACTGTGACAGGGTATTCTTCATCGTGGAAGTTATCGGCAAACTTCCTTCTCGGATTCTGCCTCCGAAGGATGTCCAGGATGATATCCCAATTCATTGGATAGGCAAATGCGAAGATGCGTTCGCCCTTGACATCAGACAGAATAGCCGCTGCAATGTGCAGAGCAGCGTCATCCTCGACGTCAATGAAGTAGTGGGGAAGATGCCAAGGCTCGGGGAGAGTCTTTCCCTCAAAGAGCTCGACGATGAAGCCGAATGATGATGAGCCTCCGGTTTGAGAAGGGTCAATGCTTCTTCCAAAGTTGAAGTCCGGAACAACTATTAACAGGTGAAATGGTTGTTAACATATCCGGCCTTATCAAAATCGAGACTTCTTCTCTGTCTCATTGTATGTCGACTCAACTTACTTGAATTGACCACGATATCTGGCCGCTTCGTTTTCTTCTCCTCGTAGAACTTCCAGATGCTTTGCTCTTGCTCCAATTTACTTGCGCCATAAATCGCTCCGCCGTGTTCAACGCCCTATGGAGGAGGAGCCCAAGCCAGTTCTTTGGCGTCGTGGCCATACGTGTCTACATCCACAGTTTGCCCCTTAAGAGCAAATTCTTGAGCGGCATAAGAGTCGAGGCTGATGAAGTCAGAATGAACCGCCTCATACTTGGTTCCTTGTACGCTGCCTGGATAGCAACCATCCCACATTTGATTGCACCCCCAATCACTTCGGCTGGGTCGCCGTTGAAGTCGACGACGGTCGCAGTGTGCACAAACATGGATGCCCCTGTGAAACTGAGTCAAATCATAGTACCAAGGAGGAGTGCAGGTAGTTATATGTGCACAAGGAAGCATGGGGTCCTGAAACTTGATGTTGAGCATCACTCACCTTTGATAGCCTCATCATACGCGCCATCAACTTGCATATCTGGGACAATATGAAGTTCGAACTTCCATGTTCCATATCTATTCTCAAAGTGTGGGACAAGCCAAGCACTCTTCTTCGGGTTGCGGACCGTTCCGCGGACCCTGTAGCCATGTTGAATGAAATGGTCTGCAATGTGAGACGCAATGTAGCCATTGGCACCAGTGATTACAGCAATCGATCCCTTGGGGACGACAGGGTTTTCAATGGACGACATGATCGACTCGGCAATGGCAAGTATGGTGTGTGTCTGTGTTGTAGCTCGAGTTTAGACGTCTTAACGTATGGATGACTTTAGATGCGTGCGTTGTGGTGTGAAGGCAAGGTGATGGAGAAGTCTGATCTGGAGGTAAATCAGATAGCACAGTCTTATACGATATCTATTAAGTAGTATGCAGCTGCCATTCAAAACTATTTTGTCTACGCGGCCGGCCGGAGAAAATAAAGATCTCCGCCAAGTTGGTCGGTGACTCGGGCTCGACGTGATGCCGCCGAAACACGGAGCGGAGGCAGTGGGTTTTGTCCGTCATCACCTCGAGCCGCAAGTCGATAGAAGTTGGCTCTTGTACTCTTGAACGACAGATCTGAAGCAGCATGGTTCCATCGACCTCACCTTCCTTGACTTACAATGAGGGTGTCGTATGGTCACAATGTGGGCATCGAGATGTACGATAGAGAACGGTTATCCATTAAAAGTAGAGAATAGGTACGAGGCTCGCTCTGAAATAGGTGATGCGAGCGAGTGTGGGCCTCGGTGATTATGTGACTGAGGTCACGTGACGGGCAGTGAGGCCACAGATGGTTGAAGCCCTCACGACAGAGGGGAAGCTAGATGTGGCATGGCTTGTGCCAGCCCCGAATGCTGTGTCCCAAATGGAAAGCTCGGATTGGCAAGTTTTTCTTTTCGTTTAAGCTCTTCGGGTATTTCCGGCGTTATGCGTCGACCATGTTTCCGTATGAGAGTGCTGGGTCGACTCAAGTATCATTGAGCTTTTCAACGTCCGATCGGCGTGGGTACAGAGTCAGCAGCTCATCTTGACTTCGTGGCCGTTATTGAGGAGAAGAATGATGCATGAATTCGCGAGAAGATGTAAAAGTTGATCTCAGCGCCAAGTCTCACAGGGAAACCTCCTTCTTCTCCCTTCAAAATACCATCGATCTCCCATTATCTTTATGGGAGTGTTGGGTTGAGCACGATGCTACAATAGTGCGTGGATTGGATGCACCGTAAGCTGCGTCATGATGCATGACACCCCTGCATAGCTGAACGCCAGCTGAGGTTAGCCCAGAGCAGCGTACTAAGTAAGCAAGGCTGTGATAAATCTGGCTATCGCAAAGTTCATCAGCGCTAAAATTCTCGAGCCTCAATTGTCACGGGTCGCCGCAATGGATTGGTCTCTGAGCATTGTGTCAGGTAGGTAGCGGATGGTGAGCCCACCAATGTATGACCTCCAACACCAGAACACTCTATGCTTAGGAACTCTCCATCATCGTCGAAACCATGGCGAGTAAGCCCAAGCAGATCCGTTTCGAAGGAGATGGGTTTCAGGATTGGTCAGACTCACCGAGCTCGCCTCCACCGTCACCAACGCCCAGCGTCAGCTCTTTCCAACGCGACTCTCGCCCTAAACGGGGCACGACGCGGATTCCTTCACGAATTGTTTCCAAGCGCGCATTGATACACCTTGGGTACTCCTTTGCCGAAGATGGGGACACAGTCATTGTTCAGCTGGCACTCGGACAGGATCACATTGAGGAACTTCTTGAGCTGAGCAAAAGGATCCGAAGCTCAGACCAGGGGAGTTCGGAAGTAGGCGAAAGTGGCGAGGCAGACCCTCAAGATGAAGATGGAGGCTTTGACTGGATCAATGTTAACGCACCTGATAAGGAGACGCCGCACCTGAACACTGGAAAAGGTGAAGAGTTCCATGAGCATGAAAACAGAGAATCGACAATAGAAGACACGGATTGGGATTGGGACGATCTTGAAGGTCCAGTGATCTACTCAGGGGTTCTAAATTTGAACAGCACAAAATCACCTATGGACAACGACATAAACTCTACAGCCGGTAGACTTTTGGCTTGGAACCAAGAAAGGTCAGATCTCATCAATGGAGCTAAGACGCAGCTCAATACAGTACACGCAGCAGAGTTCTACATGGATCGCGCCGGCAATCAAAAGGTTACGCTTGCCTGCCCAGAAGACTATGAGTTCGGGGCTACGGATGAATCCCTTGTTCGCTTGAGATGGCTGTTAGTATAACCCAAATCATGGATCAAATGCCAGACCTAATCAGAAAAACTTCAGACACGTACAGGCTGGGTCCTTGAACATTGCGACTATGGAGGTAAGCTCTGAAGAATCATAGATAAATTCACGTGTGGTCATTGACTGACAAACGAAGACTCTTGTATCAGACTGTCCATACATATCTCAACCACTAAGACTAGTAGCACTTACAGTTCTCAAAGAAGTCACGGCGAAATGTGAGAGGTCTTCGGAAAATGGCTCTTATCTCGAACCTGGCTCAATGATTCAATACATCGGGAGATACAACAGCTCACTTGGGATATATGAAGATGAAGACACATCTGATACCGAACCTGTAGTGTTTATCTCTTCACCTTACCTTATTCTTACCGACAGGCCCTCCGCAAAAAGATTTCACGGGAAGCACTATATGAGAAGCCTTCGTGAAGTTCTCTATGGCTACGACGACGAAACACACCCCAAGAATGACTCTCGTAGCCGAGAATTCAAGCTTGACGAGAAAAAGCAACCCCAGTTGAAAGTTCCTCAGCTTTGGTCATTGATAGTTGGTGCAGGTATATTATCCTTCCGTTTAGTTGCCAATTGCGCACGTAGAAGGTCTTTACTAATACCTCTCGACCGTGTTAGATCTGATCATCACCTTTTCAGAACTCTCGCCGCGGGAGATGCAACTGAATCTAATCGCCGTCGATCCAACAAGGTCGTCTGCGGGACTATACACCGTTAGACTCATTGACGAAAAGGATATGTGCCGGTATCATGTTGTCGTTAAAGCAGATTGGAAGTATGCGGTGAGTTTCGATGCACCTCAGCTTCGTTTCACAAGAGCTTTTGCTAACAAATCGCAGGACTTCCTCAAGCATGCGGTGGCACTGGCACTCAAGGGCCAAGGTCGTGTGAATGCAGCTTCCTTCGTGCTAGTCAATGACTATTGGGGCATAATCACTGCGGATATCTGGTTGCACTTACTCGCGAGCGAGACCATCGAGGACTATGTCTTTGGGATCCGTGAGAAGCACGAGGCACAGCGGAGACCCAATGAGGAGTTTCGCGCCTTGTCAGAGAAGCTTCTCACGGCGGGAAGTCGGAGCAGCCTAGGCAGCCGCAGAGCCTCGCGCCGAAGGTAAGAAACGCGTAAGGCCTTCCACCTTTTAAACACTTGACTGAGGCATTTTCTAGTTCCTTCCGGTCAGAATCCAGAGCCACAAATTTTGACACAACAGACTTCGATATGCAAATGGTTCTGCATCCTGGCATGTGGGAATACGGCGGTGACTCTCTCAGTCCTTCGGAAGAAGGGGTAGAACTCGGTAGCGATATGTTTGAGACTTCAACTATGTCGTTTGACTCACACTTGGGGGTCGACAACTCCTCCCTTGACGGCACAGTTGACTTGACCACGTCGATGTCGGAGACAAGCTTCAGGCTTAGGAACATGGCGAATTTTGAATCCTCCATCTCGCTTGGGGGCGTTGAGGCACCCAAACTTTTCAAACTAAGAAAGGAAATGAGTGATTCAAATCAACAGAATGGAGAAGTACGTGGAACCATGCATTTCGTGGTTAACCAGGAAGATGCTGACGATGACTCTTTGTACAGACTGAGAGCCCACGGTTACCGCCCGGTCAGTCAGCTGCCAGTATGGTTCAAGAAAGAAGATTTGTTCTGCTACAGAGACGAAGGGCTCGATCTATGTCACCTGGGACCTTGGAATCTCACTTGAAGCCTGACATTAACAGGTCACGTCGCAGACGAAGCCGAAGCCGTTCGGCGACTCCAAGCTATACCTATGCTCGCGACTCACCACTGGAGGCAGAGCCACTTCCGTATTGGTTCGATGATCAGGAGCATATCAGCAGAACTCGTAGTGACGCGAGCTCATACAACGGCTCGTGGACTAGAGAAACTCCTGATCGTGAGTTTGGAACGAGCTATTTCTCTGCAGGGGTCCCGTCAATAAACTTGGCAGATCTGGACTTTGTGCCATTCCTTGCCTGGAGGCTGAGTTGGGACGATGATAAGAGATCGCAATCTGAGATTGAAAAGACCCTTTCTCAGCTACTAGGCAACCTAAATACGACCATCGAGTCGGACAAGGTTGGAAAATGGTACAAGGCTTCGTTCGAATGCACCAAGGGCGAGCTTACCCAGCGACTGGCTACCTTGTTGCAATTGTCTCCGTCCAGCACAACGGGACAGACAGCTGAGAGCATGGCGCAGCACGATCCGGGGCCGGATGCAGATCAAGAACCAAAGTTTGGAGCTGACGCCAATCCACACCAACCAGATCTGGAGGACAGCATCGAACTTAAGGAATCTACCGGAAGCCTCGCAGCCCAAGCGTCGACGCTATTTGGATCTACCGAGAACGAAGATAATGACTTCGATCCGAAGCTTAACAACTTGTCACGCGACAGTTTCCGATCTAGTAATGACCTTCGGACAACGATGAAATCCGGCCAAAATCATGAGGCGTTTCTACTGTCAAGAATCTTCACCGTTTCCCAGAGTCTCCTGGGTGCCTTTCTATCCAATGAGGGGCGTCTCGAACATCATCAGGTTTGCAAACGGTTCTGGGGTTCGGTCGATGCGATATTGCGGGTAAGAGCTTCGGGCTAAATATGCATGTAGCTTCCTGGACTGACATCTTTCAGGGGCTCCAGTGGTCGATTGACGAGGCGAAAGGAACCGACCGGCTGTCTTGGGCCGTAACACGGCCAAACACGCCCTTTCCCCCAGGGGAGTCAGCCTCGATTTCAGGCTCAAAAGCTCTAGCAGATTGCGATGACTGCAATAAGGTACATAAGTATCCGTCGCCAGAAGAAGCACTCGACCATTGGCACAAGGTCCACATGAGGACTCCATGTCTACACCATGCGAAAAAGGGCCGGGTATTCGATGATCCTTGTTTTGTCTGGATACGCTGCCAAAAAGTCGAAGAATCTAGAACTCTAAGATCGAGGGAGGATCCAAAAAACGAAGTGGTTTCGTGTCTAGAGCTGTTCTACGAGGGATTACAAGACATGGTTGAAAGAACAGAGGAGCTCCATAAGCTGGTCATGAGCGTGACTAGCTTGGGAGACTCGGTCAACTGCCATGATAGCCGACCTCACCTTCCTAACAGCATCGTTGAGGCCTTTGAGCGGATAATAGGCTTGTTCGTCTTGAAAGCTAAAGAGATTTCCTGGATGAACAGACTCGCTGTCAATCCTGATTCGCTATACGGCCGTCATGCTGAGCGACGCTTGATGGATCTTAAGAGGAATGGAGCAGCAATCTCAGAGCGTGTTCGAAATCATCTTGACCGAGCGAAGGAGGACATCATACTCCTTGGAACCAGCAAGGGCGATATGGATAGGATCATCATCGCCCCGATAGGCCCTGAGTTCCTGGCAGTCGCGCTGATCAGCAACCTGCAGAACAACATCTCCAAGCAAGGGACCGCTGAAACGGTCGACCTCATCAGTCACTACCGAAGCCACACCGCCAGACTCCGGTTTAACACCAATCGAAAGCCGAAACGGCAGGCTTTTGTAGAGATCCATGCTCTTGAAGAGGAGTTGGAGGCTTTACAGATGGTGGTCGCTTCTCAACAAGGCCTGCTGAGAGCGTACCAGAGGCTCTTCTCTCCCGTGACTTTCAAGTATCCCACGACCGACTGGATCTACTACAAAGAAAGGAAGTCTTTGTTCAAGCTTGAGAGCAAATGCGTGCGCAGGCAACAACGTCGCTTGGCGGAACGCGATAGGGCGCTTGGACTTCTTCGGAAGAAGGTGAGGGTGTTGAGAGACGAGACGAAGCAGAGAATTGAAATCCTTGACGAGGGTCATGGGAAGGCGATTCGAGTGTTCACCATAGTGACGTTGTTCTTTCTGCCGTTGTGAGTATCCTCGGGTTTCGCGTGTGTAATTCCGACTAATCGTGGTTCTCAGATCATTCGTCACGAGCTTCTTCGGTATGAACACGACCGACATCAGAGATACCAACTACGACCAGAAAATCTTCTGGATATCGGCCCTTCCCGTCACATTCGGTGTCATAGGCTTAGCATTTTTGTACGGCTACAAGTGGGATGCGATCGCAGCATGGGCAAACGGGACTCTGAAGACGGCCGAAAAGGGTACAGCTCCCCATGATTTCTTGAATGAGGAGGTGCCGACATGGACGAGTACGGCGGAACCAAAAGACACTTGGTTGCCAAATCACGGACGAGCCAGTGTGACCGGGTGGAGGTATAGAATGCCGTATCTGTCCGCACGACAACGGCAGAGAAAGGGCAGAGTTCCTAGGAAGAAGACGGACGATAGTCTCTTCCGGCCATAGCATTCACAAACAAAGCCTCATGAAGCCTTGCAAACTTAGAACTACTGGCTCATGCGAACGAAACAGAGGTGGGTGGTATTGAAGCTGAAGTTGAGCAGGATGCTGGTTATAATTTTCGGATGAATAAAACTCAATGGACATGGTATCTTTAGCGTGCCGCAGGTGGCTTCTTCGTATCCTCTGCCTGCTCGCGTTCCTGGCCTTCCGCATCGAAAAGGGTTTCTTGGGCTACAGAAGACGTCAGTCAGGCTACCACAGTCAAATAGAGCGAGCGGCTTACCACTCCAGAGCTCAGCATAGAGTCCACCCCTGTCAATAAGCTCACGATGGGTGCCCATCTCGGCCACGTTACCCTCCTTCAGCACGATAATGAGGTCCGCGTCGAAGATGGTGCGCAGTCTGTGGGCCACAAACACACTAGTCCGTGCCTTCTCACGCAGAATGCTGTTAATATTGAGCATGAGGGCCTGCTCAGTGTGGGTATCCAACGCGCTCGTGGCCTCATCGAAGAAGAGCAGAGGCGGGTCCTTGAGAAGGAGTCTGCTGACGGCCAGACGCTGCTTCTCTCCACCGGAAATCATCAAGCCGCGCTCTCCCACCTTGGTCTGGTATCCATCGGGAAACCGTTCAATGATTTCGTGGATGCGTGCGCGCTGAGCCGCGGCGATGACGCGCTCCGGGGGTGCGGACATGTCGCCATATCGGATGTTGTGCTCGATCGTATCGTTGAAAAGCGGGGTGTCCTGAGGAACGACACCGATGGCCCGACGGAGGGAGTCCACCTGGACTTGGCGGATATCCTGATCGTCGATAAAGATGCGGCCAGACTGCGTGTCGTAGGAACGGAAGAGAAGTCGGAGAAGGGTAGACTTGCCGCATCCACTGGGACCAACGACGGCTACCTTCTTGCCGGCGGGGATGGTGAGAGAAAGGTTGCGTAGGATGGGGCGATCGGGATGATAGCCAAAGGTGACGTCTTCGAACCGGATCTGTCCACCCTTGGACAGGACCAGAGGCTTCGCATTCGGTTGGTCCTCGATTGAGACGTTTACCTTTTGCAGGTTGAAGAGCGTTTCCATGTCGAGCAATGACTGGCGCAGCTCTCGGTACACAGAGCCGAGAAAGTTGAGAGGCACAGAAAGCTGGAACACAAGCTGGTTAACCATGACCAGGTCACCGACGGTAAGTGTGCCTTGAGCAACACCGCTGGCAGCAAGATACATCATGGCTGTCAGGGCCGAGGAGAAGATGATGTTCTGTCCACTGTTGAGGAAGGCTAGCGAAGTCGCGACCTTGATGGAGCTCTTCTCGTAGGCCTGGAGTGCCTGGTCATATCTCGCGACCTCGAATTTCTCGTTGTTGAAGTACTTGACAGCCTCGTAGTTGATCAAGGAGTCCACAGCAACGGTGGACGCCTTGTTATCGGCCGCGTTTGCTTGTCTCCTGAACTTTGTTCTCCAAGCTGTTGTCCAGATGGTGAAGGCTGTGTATCCAACCATGGTAAGCACCGTAATGGCGGCGAACTTGGCACCATACTGGTAGGTCAAGATACCGCAAACCATTGAGATTTCCATGGCAGTCGGGAGGATGTGGAGAACCATGCTCGTCAGCAAGAAGCTGATACCCTTGGTACCTCGGTCGATCGCCCTTGTCAGTCCACCGGTCTGCTTGGACAGATGAAAGCTGAGGTCCAGCCGCAGCAGATGATCAAAGACGTTGCAAGCGACTCGGCGGATAGCCTTCTGGGCAACGGAAGCAAAGACGGCGCTGCGAAGCTCCTGGAAGATTGTCGCGCCTATCCTCGTCGCACCATATGCCAAGATCATACTCCCCGCTATTGTGACTGCCGTACCGCCGGTTGCGCCCAAGTCGATGTTCATAGAATCCACGATGCTCTTGAAGTAAAAGGGAACCTGCACGTTTAAGACCTTGGCGCCAACCAACAAGGACACAGCCAATCCGACGCGGAACTTCGTGCTCAAGCTATCCTTGGGCCACAGGTATCGCGACATCTCCTTCATGATGGCCCAGTCGGCCTTGCGCTGCTCCTGTGTAGACTTTTCGGGTGTTCCGAGAGGGTCGACGGCAGCACTCTTCTTCGCCTTGGCAGGTTCTGCCTTGGGCGACTTCGTCGCGGTCTGATCGACGGCATTTTCGACCTTCGTCGTCGCCGGCGGCTTCGTTTGGTCGCGTCTCGAAGGTGCGCTCGTTTGGAAGATGCGGATGGGGGCCCGGGGGCTCTGAGGGAGCCATGCCGGTCGGTAGAACTGGGTGTGGGAAATGCCTCGAGGGCAGGCCAAAGGAGCCTTGGTGGCGGCTCGGATGATCATCGTAATCGTGCCCTGCGCCGCAACTCGATCATCTTCCTCGTGGGTTCTGCGGCAAGATGTGTCAGCGGATGGCGGGGCGAAGGGAGCTGAGCGGAGCTATCGATAAACGATCCGATCCCGGGGAGCGGGCGGGCGCGTTGCTTCGGAGGAGGGGAACTCGCTCAACTCACCACAATTGAAGAGTTTAGACAGCAGACATGAGACCAGTATGGTTTCTGAACGATGCTGGAGGGAAACAGCTGGAAAATGAGACGTGGTTGAGTGTCAAATGCGGCGATGATGCACAATGAGGCGTAAAAGTCGCAAGCACCGGGCTCGGCATTGCTGAGCGCCTCGGCCGGGATGATGCAATCGCCGGCGCCTAAGGCACCATGAGAGCCCGCCCGATTGGGCCCACACCTCCACACCGAGCACACCGATCTCACCGTTCCCATAAATCTCACCGAGGCCAGCAAGGTGTATGGACGTTTACCGATGCTCACCGAGATTCACTGTTGACGGACCAAGGTCTGCTCCCACACCGAGCATTTTCCCCGACCTTGGGGAAGAATGGGAAGAATGGGAACAAGAACCAGTTTGACCCAAGCAAAAGTTCAAAGTGCTGCCATGGCATGACCTATTCTTTCCATGCTTATAGATGTTCAACTAAGGTGACACCGTGACAGAAGTGAAATGCATCCATGAGGAAGTTGCCTTGCTCAATGCCAACATCGTGGTCCACAAGCCTGGAGTGCAAAATGTGCGATAAGACGAGCGGCAACACTGTGGAGGTGACGTATACTTCGTCGCTCGAAGAATTCGGGCTCCTAAGGGCGATCCCAAAATCGCCAAGCTTCGGTTATCGCCCTTTGAGCGGGCCGGGGGGCTAGAGTCATGTCCAGCCGGTACGGCTCCCCCGTTCTTAGAGCCGTTGTTAGTCCATCGCCAACGAGGCCGTCCTCTTCTATTCCTAGAGTTGGGTGACTGGATCCAAAGACACTTTATCGGGCTCACACGCCGTTCTTCCGGCCCAAGGGCGGTGTAGTGGCTTAAAAACCTTCAATGTGTGACATTCCGCATAAAAGTAAAGAGTTATCGCCAGCGTCAGGGGCTCCGGAGTGATCGTGCCGGCGGGTGACTTCAAGCTGATTAGGAACTTTGGAAGTAAACAAGCGGCATGGCGGCGACTCCTGTCAAAGATTGAGTGGGGGTCCCATGTAAAGTTTTGATTGTTGATGTCGGCCTCGCCCGCCCTCTCATCCCTACCTTGAGGTATGTCTCGCCATCGACGACTCACTGTCACCCTATCATCAGCCCCTCAGACGCATGCAAAGCTTTGCCGCGTAACCTCACACATCTAGCTGAACAAAAGGCCGTCCGTGGTGGCCGTACCAAAGGGCATCTCAACGCTTCTAGCTCAGCTACGAGCCAACTTCCATTGAGACCTGATGTTTGGGACTCGGAATTCCGTCACTTCAGCTCACAAGATTCATCTGATAACATCGCCAAGCAAAATGGCGCACTTGTGAATTGTGATTGGGATAGTCCAATGCTACCATCCACGTGGTTTAGCTCGCAGATGTCAAGATCGCCTCCGGGATCTGCGAGCAGAAAAATACCCCTTTTAGAACACTGCGCATTCTAGCCCGGTAGCAGCCAAAGGCGAGGCCGCTTCTTTTAGTTCCCTTTCCCAAGTCCATGGGCTCCAATTGCAGAGTTCTAGTGCGTTGAGCAGGGAATAGCATTATTCGAGGTCCCTCTCCAGCTCCTCTACGGAGACAGCCACGCGTCGCCGACGTAGATTTCGGATTTCCCGGTATGGGGCCCGGGTTTTCCGCCGCCCTGGAAAAGAATTCTCGCATACATTTGACCCTGGGAAATCGGAAGCTCCATGATAAAGACACTTAAAGGCCATTAGAGATTTGGCTCAGATGTGGCCCGCTTCGCAGCCTTAATTTATCGTGATTCTCCTGTGCGACGCGCGATATCGCCTCCCGCCGCCGCTTACAAAGTTCAACACCAACGCTTTGATGGTCAACAGCGCAACGTAGAATAGTTGTAAAATCGAAAGACAATATGCAGAAAATACAGCGAGCCTTGAGAATTCGAACGAATGTGGTTTTGACATTCTTCAGGTGATTTACTGTGTCGATGAACAAGACCATGGGAATAAGGCCGAGATCTCAGCCCGGTGACCGGGAGCATCCCCCACATGCCGGGTCGTGGAACTTCGCCGATAGATGGGGCTCACC